TGTTAATAAATCTCTTGTGCAGAAGTTTCCGCCATCTTTTGTCCAATGACCATAAATAATTTGCTAAAAAGCGGAAAAATTGTAGCGCTTTACCGTACAGCATCAAAGTTTAAGCTTCGACAGATTCTTCGTGGCGGTTACGCAACGTAAGTCTTTTACGCAATGCGTTATACGTGGAATTATAGGCTCAACTTTAACCCATCTAATGAGATCCAATTTTTTTTTCTCGCGTCAGTACGTCTTATTACCAAGACGTGCAACTTCGAATTGAATGGAAAGCGCAGTCAGGCAAAACGAAGGTAAAAACGCAATAAACATGGAGGCTGATATAATTTCGTATAGATTTAAATGTTTCGTGACAATAACGTAGAACGTAACGTATATCTTTTTTTGGAATTTATATTATAAAAGGTTAAGTGTTTTATATGGATTTATGATCCGTGGCAAAAAATCTTTATATATGCGTTCATTGTGTCATATTTCGAACAAATAAATCATTATACAATATGCTTCTTTTTTCGAAAGTTGGAGTAATATTTTATAGCTTTCTCTCGTTTCTTTTCATCTTTTTCTCAATTTTACAAAGAACTTAAATGCCAAATCGGTTCTTACGTTAAAAATCAATTTTACCACTTTTTTGCCAATTACATTTAGCTTAAATATATAAAACTATCCACAAAATGGATTATGTATCGAATAAAGAGTAAAAACTTTTTATATATAACTTCTCGTCAGGGGACTGTAATCGAACAAAGTCATTAATATATTCATAAGTTTCTCGTGGAATATTTTGATGTATTTGATATCTTGTTTTCTGAAAAGATTAGAAACCGAAGAGATAGGAGGATCCACTTTCTCTTTTTCAGATTTTCCATTAATTTCCGCATTTCGTAGATGAATGCATAAAATCAAGGTTAATTTTTAAGAAATCTCGAAAATCGAGACGTATAAATTAATTCCGCTATATGAATTCAAGACGCACATGATAATTATCTCGAAAGGTCAGAAGTCAAAAGATAGTATAAATCTATCCACGTAGTTTACGCTGCATTCAACTTCGTGATATTTACGTATGCATGAGTGTCCTTCAGGTATCGTTTGATTTCGCTTATTAGTAGGAAAAGTTGCTTTACATTGCAACGTTTAAACTCTTAGTCAAGATTATTGCATTTAAGTGATTCATGTTTGCCAGGTGCATAATGCTCTTCGATATTATTTCATTAAGTATCATATATTTGACGTAAACATTTTTCTATATCAATATTTAATATCATCACACATTAATTTTATATAATTTTGAATATAAAATTAATATAATCAATTGCAAGCTATTTATTTATTACAATTTAATAAAGTTACGTATAAGTGTAGGAAATTCCCTAGTTCAGGCTTAAAATACATTTACATTACATGACATTACATTACATATAAAACATTATATTATATTACATTATTATACATGTAAAACATTACGTGATACAAGACATTATGCTATAAAACATCCTAGAAAAACATATCCTCGATAACTTCATTTAACTTAACTTAAGACTAAAATAAGGAAAGTTGATGCTTCTGGAGAAATCTTAGATAGAGATTGTAACTTCCTCTACAATTAATATTTAGCATTAAATACCTTACTAATTAGACTTTAAATAAAAATTCTGACAAAGTTTATCCGAGTTTAAATAAAGAATAAAAGTTTTGTAACTTAATTCTATACTCTTTAAGTTGCGAAAAATCTGTCATTTATTTATCTACGCTTATATATGTTCGTTGTTCTAATTAGAGATAGAGGTAAATTAAATAGTAGCATTACAGAAAATTTTACCTTTTATATATTGTATAAAATAAAATATATTATGTATTTCTTTTTATAGTATATTATAATACCTTTTAAATGTATATTTATATTTTTATACGATATCATTTATACGGCATATTTTATACAGTATAGAATATTTAAGAAGGAATTAAAGTATGAGTGAAAGTGACAATCTTTAAATAAACTCTGTTATAAACTGCTTCAGTTGGGCCTGACGACCACACCCTGAAAATTGGCCCATTCGGACCAGTTTTTTTTTAGGTCGCGCTGGTATATACTTTCATTATATATGCGTGACATGAAGGTGCTAAATAAGATATCGATTTGCAAAGAAACCTTCAAAAGCTTTGCCGCGATATCTTTTAAATTTCCTATATTTGCCTCACTTAAAAATGCTAAACATTTCAAGTATCACTTTTAATCATAATTACAAATACATTAACAAAACTTTGTATTTTTTTATTCTTTAAATAATATTGAAACAGTATGTTTCGTGGTGGAACACTGACATGAGCTTTTGTAAATATTTAAAATTAGGAAAGGCTTTTACAAACACTTAACAATCCAGTTATTTTGACAATCACATAAAATCATAAAATATAAAACAAATTTAATATTTATTTTTACGTATTTAAAACAAATTTGTTATACTAAAATAATTATTTCATAAAATTTCTATTTCTGCACGACCTAAATTTATTAATTAATCCTCACCATTACTTTTCACGTTTGCCAATCGCAGGTCTTAATAGTTCCATTTAAGAGCTAACTATGTGTGAAGTAAAGCGATGAGGAAACAGTACATTAACAAAAGCAGAACGAGAGAATAATCTCGCGACGCGATTCTGCGAGCTTTCGCAAGAAGCGATACGTCAGAAGATACGGAAGGTCGTTTCTCGTATACGAACTGACGTGAATTAAATGGGTTGAATATAACATTATCGATGCAAATTCCGTCGGGCGTCGGGGTACGAGGCAAGGACAATACGCCCGGACGTAGACGACCCTCTTTGATTCGACGGTCGGGTGTAGAAGCAGTCCACCTTCGCGGAGCGAAGTCGCTCGAGCCTCTCACCTGTCCAAAGAACTTTTCCAATATCCGCACGGAGTGTTACAAGCGCCGATTTCGTAATAGCGTCAGGCAGTCAGGCGATTCCGAAAATTTCCGTCGATTTCTACGCGTCATAATTGTACTGTATTAATTCGACTTTCTTTCATGGCTTGCATTTTACTTCCCTTTTGCACGAACCGTCCCGGAACTCTCTGCCGCCGTTTTCCTTTCTTTCCTTTATAAATTCCGTCGGCAACGTGCGGCATTTCTTCCCGAACAAGTCGCTCGATCGCACGCTATGTATCGTGTATCGTCATAAGAAATATTTTCATATGTTTTATTTTTAATTATTTTAACATTTAGCAGAAAATACCTCGCGATTTTCGATCATTCCTAAAAATGTCTGCATCATAATGACTTCTCACGAGAGAACGCGAAGAAAAGGGAGACAGCATTCCATCGAGACACTACTCTTTCGTCACCGTTCTTGCTTTTCGAATCGCTAAACAAATGACTTGGTAATTCATTTATCTTTCATCTATGTCACTGAAGCCATCAAATTTGCATATTGCTTTCGGAGAGTACGTCGCTCTCCAATTTTCGTCGTTTTGATTACGTGCAGATCCGATCAACTAGATTCGCGACAGTTCGCTTTTAGCGGCATGCCTTGCGGAATAACGTGGCGTGACGTTATACAGCGACTTTTACTTTCAGTATCGATAGTACGACGACTAAAAGGAGGCTTATAGACCAGATAGTAATGAAACTAGAACGTATATTCACATATCATGAGTAGCGCACGGCCATGGCTGTTTTCTTAAAGGATCACGTTCTCCATTTTCCATCACGTATGAGATGTATTTAGATATTTTTGTCTATGTGGGCGATAAAAAAGAATTTTCTTACGATTTAGCGATTATTAATTGAGCAAGAGAACCTTGAAGATCCGGAAATAAATCGTTGATAGTTTCTTTCACATTAAAAGATTATCGTCTAACGTTCATACACTAAATACAAGATGCCTATTATTTTATTATGTTTTATGATATTCAACTTTCTTAATGAATTGTTACATTTGGCTATAAATAGATTTACGGCCTTTTATCAATTTTCGCTGCGCGGATTGATTTGATACGAAAATCACAAGATCTGCTCTAGAAAACTGTACGGATCAAAACTTAAACGCTACTGCCGTCTCTCATTTGCATCTTGTGCAAACCTCGAATATTGAAAACAAGTTTGTTGCAACTACGAGGAAGAAAGAGAAAAATCTCAAACGAGGAGTGTGCACGCTAGAGCCGTTTTCTTCTAAGCACCGACAGGTCAACGCAGTCACGAATGTTTTAATGTTGCTTATTAACGCTAACGGTGAAGGTATAATCTGTGACGAATAAGACCCACTTGCCGTAACAACTCGAAATGCGATTAATTGCGTTCGTCGGGTATTATTGTCAACGATAACCGATCGATCGGCCAGCGGAGACCAGTTATTACCATTTGCGTTAATCCTAACTCCAGAGGATTCTCTTAATTGCATAATTGGTACCTTCTTGCGATTTCGTCAGGTATATGCCATCTTCGCAATCGGGCTGCCGCGTATCGCTAGGATTTTTCTTTCTCTCGATGGCGAAGTTTGCTCTTGATGAACGATATATATTTCATTTTTTTTCACATTAAAGTGATCACTATCTTTCAACTGTACGTTAAACAAATAATTATAATCATTGATTGATCGTTTATCGATCGCATTGTAGACGAGAAATGTCCTCAGGCGATCATTTTACGTACTTTCTAAGTAGTTAGAACATCTGTTAGTAATCCGTTCTTATGAAAGTTCTCGTGCCTTTTACTTGGCGTTTGTCATTACCGTCAATTACGTGACTAACATGAAGAAGCATCTTGATTATCGCCAGTAATTGTACAGATATTAATCGGATTAATTTTTTGAAGCAATCATTAAGAATTTTGATTTAGTTTTCGGGAATTTCACTATATCTCTTTTTCAGAAACAAAGATTTTATAACGGAGAAATAATGCAACCTGTATTAATTAATATTAGTTTGACTTGGCTCTAATAAAGCGATGATAAAATTATTAAAAATATGTAACGTTGAAATATATTTTCAGACAGATGGACAGAAAACACATAGTCGCGGTACCACGCGGTATAACTCCAGATCGACAACGGAATCGAGTAATCTTTCTACATCGGAAAGGTCGCCTCGCGATAAGAGTTCCCGTTCAGATGCAGTTCCCAACTTAGAAAAGCATGAGACGCATATCGCGAGAGAAGGTCCGTTTAGATCGCGATCGAAATCAAAGCAGACGGCAGACTTGTCCGTTACCACATCGCGGACAAGTTCAAAGCATTTAAATACGAGTGCCGATAATTCACGAAACCGTCAAAAGTCGCACGCCATGCAGGCCCCTAAAGAAGAAATAATGAGGGACACGCACGACAACAACAAAGAGAACAGGCCTGAGTCACAAACGCAGAAACGACTGACAGCTTCTCGAAGAATGTCTTCGGACGCATCTCCCGTCTGGATGGACAGTGCAAAGTTGGATGACGAAGTGTTCATGAAGTCACCTGATTTCAGGAGATCGAGAACAGGAAGAAAGATTTATCCAAATCCGACGAATCATGGGAGAGAATCGAAAAGTGAAGTAATCTCAACCAGAAAACCTCCAGAAAATGAAAATGTGGAGAAAGTTGAGGGTCCGAGCAGCGAATCGGAAAAGGAGGAAGTACAATCGGAGCACCTAAGGCTCGAGGACGTTACCTCGAAAGCGAACGTGTCGAGGAAGATAGATGCGAAAAGCACGAACAGTTCTAGCATCCGTAAAGATGAAGCAAAAGATGTTCTGCTGTCGGGTTCCGAGAGTGTAAGAGTGGACGTTCCTCTCACCGTCGGAAACGAAGACGTCAATCTTCTAACATCCGCCACGGTTTCGTCACTCAACGTGCCTCCCAGACAAGCCTCGAGGCCGGTCAAGGAGAAGGTGGAGAGCAACGATATCGCAAGATCGAGTCCGAAGAAAAGCAGACATCCCGATCGATCGAAGTCTCGTAACAGATCCAAAACGAGAGATCCTAATCTCGAGGGTGCGAATTCAGGTACCTCCCGTCGAGGTTCGTTGAAATCCGGCGGTACCGCGGAGACGAACGGACGATCCTCCAATTCCAGACACAGGTCTAACGCAAAGAACGTCAATTCGAGAGGCCGTTCCGCGCACAGGTCGAGAGACGCGGTCACGGCGGAAGCAAGAAGTAGCGGTAGACAGAAGAACGCAGATACCGATTCTGAGGCAAATGCAAACAGACGGACGGAAACACGACGTAACGACAGACGAACGTCCGAGGGAAAGCGTAGATCCAAGGATGGCAGATCGAAAGCTGTGGAAGCCAAGGTAGACGAGCAAGATATCCGAGCGCAATCCAGAAGTCGGTCACGCGCAGCTATCAGCAACCTCGGTAATTTACAGTTTAATCTTGAAACACCAATTAATATCATTAATATTTAATAAATTAATAATCTCAAGGAGACAATAAATTGTTTCAAGGAGATTATCCTCATTTATAAAGATTGCTTCAATCGCTTGATCATATTTGATCTCTTAATTGATTGCTTATTAGCGATCATTTGATATTAAGATCTCTGAAGAAATATTTGGATTATTTGGATAATTATGTAGAAGTTTTTGCAATTTAAATTTAGAATTGATAATTGATAACGAGAGAAGCAATATTTCCGCATGTTATTTAACTAGAGTTTTAATGATAATATCACGTTTCGTTTCAGAGGTTACCACTGCTTATATTCCGAAAGCAACAATCGCCGAAACTACGACCGTTCCTTCCGTAGACATAGAAATTACGACATCCAATACCGCAACAATCAGGCCATCAACCGTTCGAACATCCTCTTCAACCGAGCGAGCTTCACGCAACAAGGGAAGAGACAGAGGAGAAAGTTCTCGAGCGAAGAAACCCCCGAAGGAAGATTTCTTCAATCACGGTCTAGGTTTTCGTGGTCGAAAGACCTCGACCGAGGGACCGTCCGCGATTGTTGCGGATCCACAAACTACGTCTAAAAGTGAGACGCAATTACGCGGTAATCCCGGATGGACTCTCAGACGCCGACCTGGTCACGTCAATCACGATGCTTCTTCTTCGACTACATCCACGTCAGTTAATCGCGATCAAACCAACGAAATCGTCTTGCTCAATGATGTGCCGAAGACCACCGAAACGCCGTTAAGTAATAGCGTAAAAACCGGACGAAGGGGCACCAAAAGGCCAAAAGCAAAGGACGAGAGCAACACCGTATCGGGAGTCGCGGCGAAGAGCACGACAAGGGGCAGCAAAACCTTCAACAAATCCGAAAACTTCGGTCTACCCAAGGGAGTAGAGCGAGAGTCCGACAGCGACAATTATCCTCCCGCGTTCCGAGCTAGGCTGTCTCAATTGGTGAGTCTGAATTTATTTATATATGAGGCATTGCTTTTACTTTATCTTAACACAAAATTGGTTTCCTATTATTTATGGTTTGTCATATTAATTCTTTTCATTGCTAGGAAAATAGAACTTTTCAATCTGTCTTGACTAAAATGAGAAAAAAAAGACAGATAATAGTTAAAGTTTGTCTATAATCGGCAGATATATTTTTCCATTACATATTTATTTATTTGTTCAATTATTACATTTAGTTATTGCGAAAGTACCATATTTATGTACCGTATCAATGTATCTATTTATCCATCAAAATTATTATAACATGATACAAATATGTTAGACGCATTTCAAAACTTTTGTGACAAGTGTGTCACAATTCCGTTTCGTTTAAATGTTTCGAATTTTTATCGCGAAATCTCTATTTGTTGTTAATAACGCTGTTGAAAAAATTAGTAGTAAAAAAACAAGCACACTTAGTTAAAGAATACTTTCAGAAAAATTCTAACTCAAAACCTACTGGAGGAAAGAGTACAGCTAGGACCAGCTTGCAGGTAAGACAGTACGCAGGTCTCTTAACATATTTGCTAAATGAACTAATAATTTATTTTAATTTTTAACATATTAACGATTTATAACATTGCATCCTATTTTTCTTAATTTAAGCCCTTTGCAGGCAGTTGAATCTGCGGATGTTGAAAATGTTGCATCTTTAGCATGAAGCAGTAGTCCTTGAATTTTTTATTAAACGGTTTTCACTCAATAGAGCATGTACCTATATCGACAAGCGCGTAAGGGGAGTGAAACGGTAGAAATATGGTACACGTAAAATTAATTAATTACGGTGGTGATTTTCCCCCCTCGATGTGTAAAATTCTTATACATACGTAATTGTATAAAGCTTGAAAAATGCCCCACGTAGGAACATCCGAAGGAACGTACATTCCGACGGCATAAACGATCCAGCTCGAAAACGATGCATGTATCCCAAAAAAACGAAACTGTGGAAAATGAGTTTGCGACAGACGTAGTCTTGCACGTCTCTTCTCTCACGAATCCCCTAACTTCGATATTCGACCCAGATACGCGACAAGTAAGAACATAGCGGCAATTTGGTCAGAACTTTAATGATAGTTTGGTATTGTTGCGCACACTAATCGGGACCGGCTGAGAAATCGCTTTTATCATTCCCATGCGTTCCCATCCACGCTTCGGGGAGTCCCGGAGCTTCCCTTGGACTTTTCAAACGGGTGTCTTCATTGATAGAAACTGTATACCAATTTTTGGTATACACTAAGCATACGTAACATTAAATATCATTAAATATTTATTTTCAGTTTTTGGATAAAAAGATTGTCGAAGGAAAGATTTATGTCTGATTTTATTTTTTCACGAAAGGAAGTGCATTGCGAAAAGAGATCGTTTCTTACGATCGCCAATCGTTGAACGCGCGATCGCTTTTTTGAGATAACTACGATCGGGATATCAAATCTCGACAGAAATCACGATACGAAATAAGGAATGGTGTATTGGTTGCTACAAAACGCGAGCTTACATCAAATGCATCATCAAAAGAACCAATCAGAACTGGACGATGATGCGTTATTAACATCTTTATGACTCGCAATACCAATGAAGCTTACTTGGTGATCGGTGATGGTAAACGTGACGGAAACAGTTACGATTCTGAGGAATCTACTCTTCAAAGCTTTCGCCGGAAAGCTTTCGAGATGCGTTTGCGGAAGCTTTTAGGAACCTGCGGTTGCGACAATGAACATCCAAACGAGACTGGATTTGAACGGTGTCGTGACGCAAGGAAATGGCGAATCCTCGACGAGAAGTTTTCTCAAGATATATCAATTGCAAAAAGATCGGTAGAGCGGCCTGAAATCTTTCATTAAAATCTTCTGCCGATCTTTCCGTTCGCGATCCTAGTTTTACTTTCAAGCACCCTTAATGAGACGACCGGGAACGGGAGATGACTAGATGTCTATTATCGCGCAATGAATGAATTGGTTTCGAGATTTTGCAAACTGGTTTTGATATAATCAACCTGTCTCTTTCTTCTTACGTTGTCAGTTAGTCCAGAAGAGAAAGTACACTCGTAGGTAGGTCATTGAAGCAAATCAAGTAATGGCCACGTTGTTATTCAAACGGATAATTGAACTTGATTTGATGCGCTTCTCGATATGCCGTGGAAGTTTGTTATTAGGTTTGCCAACTGGAGTGCTAAAGACCTGTTATTTTCAGCTATTTTTCCGCGAAATAAAAAAGCATTTAAAGTAACAATTATGTGATACTTCAGCAAAGTAAATAAAATTGTAAATATGTCACGGTATATATAAATTTTAAATCTCTTTTGTCTTGTACTCGGTTCTTTATAAGAATTTATTTTGCTTCGCTGCTTAGTGAGACAGGAAGAGACTGACACACTCGTAGTAGAAAAAAAAAGAAATAGAAAGGGAATTTAATGGTTGTGTTCCGTGGACTGTAATGTATCCATTACATTTATCAGAAGCACAAGTAATCGTTCAAAAAATAATATACAATCGCGGCGTAGTCGGTTATTAGAAAAATTAATCCAATTAAAGATAAGTGAAAAAGCTATTACTCTCTTACAAATTATATAAATGTCTGTTATTTATCGTAATGGAAACATTTTAAGTTCGTAGAAATAAATTTTTCTTGAACTACATGATATAAACCTGAATTAATATCCGATATAAATATATAATTGTAAATACTGTATATATGGAGTATATATTTGCAAATAAGAATATGATGTAGAAAAATGATCTCTGCATATTTAACCTTTCGTCCCACTAGGTGGGTCGTTTTCGTCCGGGCGAAAATCAAATGTAGTTGTAACTTTTGCAAACGCGTAGAAATGGCGCCACTGCGCATCCGTAAAAAAAGTTATGCTCCCCGAGAACCCGCCTACCGAGTTTCAAGGCGCCAGACCCCCTCCAGCCGTCACAGGAGACACGTAATTCTTGAAAAAACGAGGTTGGCGGCGAACACTTAAGCACTTCATTTCAAAATAATTGCATGCAATATTTTTTTTATGAAAGGTACGTTTTTCCCCTTCAATTTCTTTTTTTATTCATTTCGATATCTTTATTTGTCTTAAAGTTATGATTTTTTTAGTAAAAGATGATTTTACAAGTTGTAGTTGTAGTTGCTCCATTTCTTAAATAAAAAATATGTGAAAAAAATTAATTGCTTATAATTTTATGATTGATACTTCAAATTGAAGGTTTGAATTACCTTCATGAATTTTTTCAGATTTTTTGTAACACTTTAACACTTAAAAAAAACGTCAAGACGAAAACGACCCACCTATGCGGCGTAAAGGTGCCAAAAAAACCTAGTGGGACGAAGGGTTAAAAAAAAAAGTATATTGTGCAGAAATATGCTTTACAAACAATCGACAGTAATAATTTCGATAATTTGCTGAACTTTATGCACTTAACGTATATATCTTTTTTTCTCAAATATTTTATATCGCATAATTTCGTATACGGTTTTGCTTACCGCACATTTACATGTATATTACCTTGCATTGCGGGGTTGTAAAGTATTCTTATTTAGGTCGTGGTCTGACGAGAACGATTAAACTTTCAGTCCGCGCCCACGAAACCTTGGTTCGTGTATGTCGTTAGCCAGCTGGTTGCGTGGATCGTCTTCTTTCTTCAGTTCACCAGGCTTCTATTCTTCCTTTAAAAGCAAAGGGTGGGTGTAGCGCTCCTTAGACGATCGATATATTAGCCTTTTCGTTATCACATAAAGATAGAATAGTGTTTACGTTCTACACGAGTGAGTTTTCGCGAACGGTCTTGAGAACGTCGCTTTGAGTCGAGGAAGATAAACCGCCTTATACGAGGTCGCCGCACTAACAGAATTTACTTCCGAGCTTTCGGCAGGTTGCTTACGAACGCTTGGCGATTATCGTCGCGCACTTAAAATGGAGCTCTTTGAACGACCTTTTCAGGCGACGAAACCTTCAAGCTTGGCGAGTCTGTTCTCCGAAAGATCTAAGATGAAACTGGAGTTAGCCAGGAGATTAATCAAACCCGAATTGAACGTTGACGAGAACGATTTCGATGTAACGACGGCCGCTTATTCCGATAAATCGAAAGCGAAAGAAGTTTCGACGGCCAGCGAAAGCAGGAACGTAGAGAAAACGACGAAAGCGACCAGCAAACTGATCGGCGCGCGTGCCACGCACGGAAGTTCGACGATCGCGAGTGCGCCGAAAGAAAAATCGACTGTGAGAGGCAGGTGGAAGCTTTTGGAGACCAGAAAATTGCCGAAAGATCGAAATGTCGAAGCTCCGCTTAGATCGCTCACGACCAAGAAAAGCCGAGTGACTTCTGAAAGAGCGGTCATACCTCCCTCCGTCGAAGAATTGTCAACGAGGAGCGTTACCGAGTTGAATGCACCACGTCGCTATACAACAATTGCGGTTTCACATCGCGATGCCGTGGAAGGAACGGCCACCACGACTGTCGATACGACAAAAGTCCGATCTCGGACGAGTACCACGGGATCGCAGGAGGAGACATCAACATTAGCAAACTCGGTGGAAGAAAATAGCATTATTACAACCATCGAACCGCTGAAGCTAGATAAAACATTCATCGAAACTATTACCGTTGCGTCGATCAAGGACGCGTTAGCGGAATCGAAAGCCCACCCTACGGAGTTCCCTCAAGAGGTGACCCTATCACCGGCCGTCACCACATCGAGCGGTATACTTTCGTCGTTCACGCCGTCGACGACGAAATCAGAAAAGCTATATCCGGTTTATATTCCCGACTCGAAGGAATACAACTTGTTAGACGATAGTGAGAAGACAACGACTCCGAGCGACACGAGTAAGAGCAGCGTTCGAGCCCGTTATACGATACAGCAGGAGCAACCGGACAAAGTGGCGGTTTCTATGGTGACGTCGAGGACCGTCGGGCCCACCAGCAGATACATCCGGAAGAAATCGGGCGTCTTCACGCCGTACGACGCGGCTCCCAAGACATCCAGCACGGAGACAGCGATTACGCAGACGAAGAGACGGGAATTCCGTCCACGAACGTCGACTTACAGGAGGCATTCCGAGGTGCTGACCAGCCAGGTGGCGGTTCGGCAATCGGCGACGGTCGAACAAACGACCGCCGGCGTGCCCATCACTCCAAAGCCGACCAAGTTTGTCTCTCAGGTCGTCACGCCGAGTCCTCGTCCTTCGTCCTCCGAGCCATTCGTCAGCGTCCGAATCGACACCTCGAACGACACCACTACGCGAACGTCCGGTATCGCCGAAAGCAGTAACGGTAACAGCGGCAACTCCAACGTCTTCAACCCTACCAGGAGCACGTATCTCACCACCTCGAACACCACTACGCTGCTCGAGCAACTACGAAGCACTGTAGCACCGCTACTAAACAACTTGGGTGACAAGACCCCCATCTTCTCCGGAGCTTATTCCAACGTGAATACCGCGGTAAGCGATTAAACGTATTTTAGGCGATTATTAATTTTCTGTTCAGCACAAAAGTAAATTAATACGTGTCTTAATTGTATTCCATTAATTCTATAATATGTGTAGTTGAAAGAATGATTACTTTTGTACGCCTATACGTATTTAAATTAAAGTATCTTTTTATCTATTATTTTTATTTTTTTATATTATTAGGTATCTTACTTATCTATTTTGGGAATATTTTATTATCATTAATTAATCCTGTATTAATTTAATTTGATTTAAAAAATTTTATTGAAATAATTTATTGAGCATGTTATTCTGATAATATAATTGTAGGGTGTTATTTATTTCTATCCAAAGTATTTCAACAAACATTATGATTAACTCGTTTGCAGGTTTGTATTACAAAAAAAGAATAAATTTTTATTTCTAGATAGATTAAGCAAACCAAATGGTTTAAAAAATTTTAATAAATGATATGTTTACCGCGATGCATAATTGTAACTTTTATACTCCAGGAAGAAATGTGTTAAAAATATGTAATAATTTTCTACGAATAGAATTCAGCCCGCAGGATAACGCCTAACGGTTCCCCGCCGAGATTCAGCGCGAGATACAAAGGAGCAGAATTGTTTGTAAGAAAACCGTCCGTTGGTCAAGCTGTGGTACCGTCACTCACAACGTCGTCGACTACGGCCTCGACACCGATAGAGGTAAGACTTTTGAGGATTTTGGAGAGAATTTTATGAGGGAAATGTCATCGAGGACAGACGAACCTTTCCTTGTTTAATTAATGCACATTGTACAATTGCACCTTTCAATTACATGCTGTGTACTCAATCGAATAGAAAGCGATGATTCATAAACTTGCCAGCTTTAATTTTTCGCTTTAACAGCAACAATTTGCATCGACGCGATATTCTCGTTTCGCGATACGCTATCTCTCGTCATTTTATGATAAATATATGTTTATCATAAATATCTCGCGTTACACATGTATTCATGATGTATTCATAGAGAAAAAAGCCTTTATTCTTAGAAACAACGATGTTGCGAATTTACGGTAGTTGTAATATATATAGATTTTATATATATGACTGAATATTATATCTGACTTAGCATTATCTCAAGATAAAGTACTCGTATTTTATATGCCCTTTATGTATTATGCGTATATGTATACAATATCATGCTATGCATTCCACTGTATGTGAAGCAGACTTTTCACGTAGTCTAAAAAATAAGCCTTAATAAGTCGTAGTATAAAAAAAAAGCTCGCGACAAAAAGATCCAGGTAAGGCGGTATGCAAGCCGAAAATGCGTTAATGGTTCCCTTCAGAAGAAGTTACGTGAGGTAATTTTCTGTGCTTAAAAGGTGTTCCCTACGAAAGTACCAGAGGATTCCGAAGCAGTTGCACCGCCATGGACCAGCTCTATCGTCTCAACCCCATCGTGCGATCTCGTACTTAATCATATCGATGCAAACAGCCTGCGTTAATCTGACCACCCTCTGATCATAATAAGAAACCGTTTTCATTCGTCACACGCCTTCCTCAATTTTACTCTTTTTTTTTTTTTTAGCGAATACCCGAAGTATAACGACTGTCGTACGAGTTACAGATGCATTTTTCGAATTGCGTTAACAATAGCTTCAATAGATTTAGTCTATGTTTATCTGTGAATATCAACGCACTAAAAAAAAGCACATTTTTCTTGCTTCGAAAGAGCACGTCAGCACAAGCATATAATCATTGCACAAACAATTTACTGGGATTAAGGTCGATTTATAAAGATCATTAAATATCACGTTCTAACACTTAGGAGAAGGATATATTCGTCTCGGAAAAAAAATAGAAGGATGACTTATTAACTTCGAGGAAGATTAATGCACGGTCATCGGTCATGTCACGTTATCTCATAGCACTCACGTATCATACACTTATATGTGCAAATATTGTATTATACAACTTTATATTTTTTAATAATAAATGTATTGATTTTTTAGCATTGCACGCGATTAGCAATTGTCTGCCCTTATTTAGCCATGTTAGAATTAAAATAGAGTTAAAATCAAATAAATATATATATACATATGTTATGGAAAACAGTTTTTTTTTTTTACAAAGGAAAAGAAAATAAAACGGTAAATGTTAATTTCTAGTTTTATCCTTATTTCATCTATGATGTATATTTATAGATATAACAAATTATAAGTGAATTAGAAAAGCAGAATTGAGACGTTTTGAGTAAAGACACACGTGATATTTCTTTGTAACATTACTTAGTCTATATCAATTGTAAAAATCAGATTCAGTTTGAATATATATAAAATGTAGAAGACAAAATAATTTATTGGCTCCAAAATAGTATAACTGCAAAAACTGTAAGAATTATTTACGACCAGAAAGAGTCATATTTTAGACGCAATTTCCATAGTAATTAGATGAATATAATTATAGAAGTGTAATATCTTTTATTATATTACTAATGAAGCTTTTTATAAAATATCGAGAACATATTATAACGTTTCGATAATGTTGAAAATGCGTGCATCTCTGTAGTTCTTGAGTTGTTTTCGATTACTTCAATTTCTGCTAATGTAATATAAATAAAAATTTCTGTACTTTACTAAATCACAGAAATTGTCAACATATTTACAATAAATCCACAGATATTCGTTTCACTGTCCGTCTTTCAGCATTTATCATCCATCTCTGTCATGTTGCATCTTTATCCGCGATTTGATATTTTATCTCGACATTAATGTATCTTCGAGAGTCATCTCGAATACAGATGCAATTTATCTTGATTCTATAAAGACATTTGCATGTTCTATCTCATTAAGGAAATATCGCTCTTGGGCAGCGAGAAGTGAAAGTACACATTCGCATATAATAGATCTATATACCAGTGAGCATTCTATATTTTCTATCTCTCTTCGTAGCACATGATAAAATAAGAACGGTACTAATAGAGGAAGAATATGTTCGCCATCATGCATCCTTCGCTATCAATATGTTTCACTTTTCTATTTTCTATTTCTTCTTCATCAATTAAAAAATTTCGTAGTTATTCTATAATTCTAATATGTCTATTTTTATATATAAAATTTCGTTTTTTATGAAGCTTTTAAAATATCGAAGCGATTATATCAGACTTAGATCAGTTTCGCGCGATAATTTTGCACAACGCGAGTAACTCTGGTACTTCGCACGTGCCGCAAACGTTCGCCGTTTTTGAGGCTTCCATCGGGCAATCGTGCGAGAAATTGTTAATGTAATACTTCCGTAATAATGTAATAGCGAAAGTACGTCGGTGGAGGCCTCTGTAGATGCAAGGTAAGAGCCGGCAATATCCCGTAGAAGAGAAAAAGGTGTCGTAGACGAGAGGGGAACTAGTCTCTCCCCGCTGTTTCTGAGTAATCTTTTAATCTTAAGAACAAGTTCCAAGTCACGGCTGTTACATCGAGACTTTACATTCGGCGACAATTCTCCTTCCTCTTGCACTAGTTCGTACATGTACCCAGAGATGGTGTATGCTCACATATAACCGTATTCACTTGTATAATTGTTAATTGTATTTGTTAATTATATTTGCGTTTAGGTCATAAAAATTGTTTTAGCAAATAACACACTAATCGCTAATAAGAAATATTGTACCTAATTGCGTTACCGTTGTATTCATTTGAGTGCACACCTGTAAATGTTGCAATCATATCACATATCTGTAAATAGAACAACTAAAACGTATTAACTCTTAAACGCGCAAGCTACTGTCGTTCATGCTGTGATTAGCATTTTTTTCAAGCCCGAACCTAAGCTCACGCCAGAGTTCGACGCGCTTAAGGGTTGAAACGCCGCCCTCGACATGTAAATTACGCGCGATTACAAAAAAAGAGCCTCCCAGGTTTAACCGACCTCTGTTTGAACCCAACTAGTTTGTCACCGTAATTGCACCAAAGTGTGTACAGCACTCGCACGCACCGAATTTCTGATTGCAGAATTCCGGTTCGGCACCGCCCGTTGCCATCAACAGCCCCGGCGAGCCCAGATTCGTCACTTTTTATCAGGCGTTAGAGTCGGCTAGCATAAGAAACGAGAATCTGGGCGCGGAAGACGTGCCTCGGCGACTAACTGGCGTGGTAACGAAGGTAGACCCTAACGCTACTGTACCTAACGGCGCCGGTAACGACATTGCTAACAACAATGACACCATCGCATCAATCACCGCGACTACTACAACATCCTCCCCAGATACCACTACTACCACAGACACTACCACTACCGCCGTACAGTCGGCGACAGACAATTCGCTCACTTTGAGATTAGGTGCGGAGGGTAGTACTGACAGTGGCTCGGAAACCGCCACAACAACGGTACAAACCCCCGTAGGCCCGGACACGAACGGGGGAGAAACAACTCCGGTCCCCATCTCGGAATTGCCCGGGACCACCCTCCCTGCTAACACGATAACGAACCTACCACCGTCCGATGCGGATTTCCCGAGTACCACGGAACCGTTCACCACCACCGAAACCGCTACGTCGACGAGCGTCGCCGATGTAACTTCGGCAGCGGATTCCTCCACGGAATCCGTCCCCGACGATGCTCGATCTACCGAACCGATAGACACGAGTATCGGGACCACGGAGGTAGCGTCGCTGCCCATCACCGAGACGATAAATGCAAACATGTCCATCCCCGCTTCTCAGAATCTGCAAACGGCGAGTGATGCACCGGATACAACCGTACCACCCCCGATCACCGAGAGCGTCACCATGACGTACATACCACCGGAAGTGACAACTATGCCCGCGATAAATGATACGTCGGAGAGCGTCGAGACGAATACCGTGCAACAGCCCGAGGAAACGACGTCTCGCACAGTGGAAACTACCGAGGCAGTCGAGGATATAGAAACGAATACCGTAGAGCAGTCCGATGCGACGATTCCGTCTCAGACGACGGAAACCACGAGCACCGCCGAGCCGACCACGACAGAGATTTCGAATGACATAATCGAGCTCCGTGCGACGGCGTCACCCGCCTTCTCGTCCACGTACCGCACACGATTGATCGATTACGCGGAAGACATTCTATCGCGTTTGTCGCAAAAAAAGGGTTTCTACACGGTTAGACCACCGGTCCAAAGGCCCACCGTCACGACGACCGTCTCCCCCGAGCTGTCCAACACGATACCGGATTCGTCGTCGGCAAATACGGAGAACCCGGCGCAACCGGAAGAGACGACTACCGTGCGGGCAGATGGACCGGGAACGACGGAGTCGCCAGACTTCGATGTAGAATTTGTGCCGACCACGACGAACGGACCGGAAGTGACCATTCGAAACCTCGCCACCGCGCCTCAGGGTCAGTCCAACGGCCAAGAGACAAACGCACAGAATACATTAGACTCGAGTACTACAATCGGACAGACGTTATCGAGTGACAACGCGACATCGAATCCCGAATCGACGACGATAGCTCAGGATGAAGAAGCTATGACCGTCACGCTGACCTCGCGGCTCTTCGATCCCGTTACGGAGAACGACCCCCAGTCGTCTAACGATACGTTACTCGCTGAGCTAATGACTATCGCGAAGACTCTCTTCACGGAAGCGATGAACGACACGCGGCAGTCGATTCAGACTGACGGCACGGTAGGAAATGATGATAGAAATCGAACCGTGTCCTTGAACGGCACGTCAGAAGCTACCACTGTACCCCCGGAACTTTCGAGCCCTTTAGAAAGTATAAACGTTACAACGCCCATTGATTTACCCGGAAACGAAAGAGAAGATAATTCCACCCCCGGCCCTGTTGTAGGATCGAATATTACGTTAGTGGAATCTAACACGCGACCCGCCGATGTCGAAAACCCAGTCAATGTAGGTGATGTTACAACAATGTCCCTTTCGCAGATAAATACTGAAACACCAAATATCATTATGGTTACGGGCAGCATGAGTTCGGAGCTAACCACTAATACGTTTGACTCACAACTGTCTAATCCGATTGAATCATCCAATAATAATACCGAACAACCATCTATTATGACTGTTCCGAATAACGAGGTCGAATTGTCGAATCGTTTACCGGAATTCGGAATGGACCTCATTACCAATAATCCCTTAACGACCTCCGTTACCGCGAATACAGAGAGAATGCTGCTCGACGTCGACATAAACGAGTCCACGACGTCGGACACGGTAACGGAATTAATCACTAGTGTAGCAATGACGGAAATAAACGTTGTACAAACGAACGCCGTAAACACCACTAATCAGACACCGGAACCCACCACGATAGTGCCTGCATCTGACCCGCAGGCTACAAACGGCCAATCCCTCGTAGCAAATGCCTCGGATATCGGTACAACACTTCCAACGGTATCCGATACGAGCGATACTCAGCCATTTGGTACCGAACCTCCCGTCACGGAATCAGTTCGTAACTTAATAAGTTCCACCGACACCACCACTAATCGATTCAACGACATAACAACAACAAATGCCCCTCAAACGCTAACCGATCTCGTAAGCGAGATGCCAAATCTTATTGCCCGTTTACAGGATACAACGGCAACGACAACAACCGCCCAAGGGACGGCTGGTTCGAGAATCATTCAACCCGAGCAAACGACCGAAACCATCATCACCACCATAACAACCATCACCGTTCCTAACGTCACAGCATCAACCATCAATTCCACCACGACCCCCTTGTCCTTTGTCACCGCGACACCTGTCCTATCCTCATCAGTCGAACCAATGACCACGACGACGTCGACAACGTCGTCGCCATCCGAGCTCACTACCATTGTCGGACCGCCGTCCGAAACGACCACCACGACTGCCGACATAAACGAGAACCTCGTCTCCACCGAGACGACGACCGATACCTCGACCACGCAAGGCACAACGGTCACCCCGAACGAATCGGACGACCTGAACGCGATATCTAGGATAAACGGCGGGGAGGCAAGTAACGCGACGACGACGACGACAAGTGCCGCACCACTCACGAATACCTCGGCCACAACGACTACGTCGACTACCGCACGGACTACTGTGCTAAATCGAGTATCGCCACCTCCGGTGTTCACGCCTTTCGGCGCTTTGAACACAGGACCCTACGTGGGACGTTTCGGCGGCAGTCAAGTGACGTCGGCCCCGAGATTAGGCTCTTCCAAGGCGCCCGTTCGCGATTACCTGATTTATGGTATCTATCCCAACAAGACCATCGTGCGGAAGCGGCCGGAGGACAATCTGATCGACGGCAGAAACGTGGACAGCCCGTACGTGATATTCGGCATCTATCCGGACGGCAGATTAGTCCGGAAGTTTCCCAACGGGACGATAATACCGGAATCACCCAGGAACCCGGTCGAGGTTGTGTTCACACTTAGAACTACCACTACTACTAACCGACCAGCACCCAGGCCCTACTATAACCAGGCTAACCAAGCGGGCGTTTATAACAACCAGTATCAAGCCCCGGTGTACTTTAATAATGGTAGACCCGTGGATGAGCTGACGGGAGGCGCCCAGAGCCCCGGACCCCTTGATTTTGGACTTATCGGTAATGCGATCGGCGTTACTCCTGGAGGCCCCAATTTCGCGGGACCATTTGGTCTCCCTGCTAGCGTCCCGAGCACAAACAAAATGGTATCTCTATCTCACCTCTTCATCAAATTCGTATTTTATACGCGCAACGAGTTTGATCAGGAATCAAATCGCGGTTGAGAAACGAGTCGCGTTTCCTGGCTCTTTAGATATTTAGAAATCGTTGCTGCGCGAAAGTAACCTGAAGTGATTTAACGTTAATATGTAGAAGTCAGATTTTTATTAGAATTATTATCTGGATTTTATTATTACAGTTTCTACACTTCTAAAAGATTGCATATTTATCTCGTTATCTCGTTTTTAAAAGCTGTCGTTATTCTAGTAAACGTTATGTTGTAGAATATATATAAATTTCTATTCAGTTCTGAGTTGCGATCTGGAATTAATATCGCGTTTAAATATAATATCAATTAAAAAGCAGATAATCACGCTTAGTGCGAAATGCGGATATACGGCATGTTAATGGCCAGCATTTCTAATTCTTTTTGTTTCTATTCAGCATAAAATATCATTCGGTAAATTATCGGTTTCATAACACGCTCTTTCTCTGTCTCTCGCTGGATAATTGTTACGTAATATTGATAGATTAACAATTCAATTTCTCGATATAACTTTGTAACTTGTCTTTATAGCTTCCCTTCTGGCAAACTTTCTTCTTTCATAATATGCTTTACATTTTCGATGTAATTTTAATAAAATGCATTTCAATACTTTTTTTCCAGGTCAAAAATATCGAATGCTACAACGGCTGTACACAGAGTATTATTGTAAATTTGTAAATAGTTGTGACACAGATTTGTAGCACTTTTGTTCGCCCATTTGCACTTTTGACTTATTTTTTACGCACTGTACATTCTGTTAGATATAGCATATGCAATCTGATCATATGGTCTCACTTGTGCTGAATATTTCGTATATCTCACAGTATACATAAAAAATATTTTATAAATTTATTGTTACAGATTATATAACGCGCACGACATATGTTATACCAAATTAAAAGAAAATATTTTTATTATCCTTTTGAAATTTTTTTATTAAAGCTGTGTTCAAGTATTTTTATATTTTACATTAAAATGAACTGTATAGAATGACATCTTATTATGACATATTTTTTAGTCCGATTATTTGCAGACACGTTAAAAACAATATTTTACTTAAAAAATTACAAAATATATTTTATATTTTTGTTATAAATTTTTACTAAACGAATACTTTTAAAAAAGTAAAATTTTATTATTTTAAAACTAAAGAATTCAAGATACAAAGGAAATCTAAAAAAAGAATATTAAAGGGCATAAAAATATTATGTTTTTATTTGATAACAAATGACACGATCGCACCAATCTCGTTTCTTTCGCAATATTTGAAGAATATTGCAAGTTTATGAATTCTATTTCTATTCACTATATTAAAGTTTTTTTATAAAATCATTAAATGGACGTAAATATTTCAGAGTGATATTTTGCTAAATACCCAAATGGGTACAATACCGAATGCGTTCGGTAACCTGCAGTCGCCAAATAGCGGTCAAACACAAGGTCCGATCGGCCCTCCTATTATCCAGGATCGCGAAAGAAACGAAGCTTCTCGGACAAGAGTGACGTCTGATCAACGTAGCTCTGTATATATCGGACAGGTAGTGAAGAAAATCATATGTGATTAAACGTTATGTGATTAAACATTATGTGATTAATGATTAATGAACTAAAAGAGAAAACACTTTAAAGCAATCATAAATATATTTCAGGATAAATTTATTAATTATCAGATTGACGGTGCACCTGTTATCAATCCAAAAGTCGTTGATGTAAGAATAAATTCAGTGGCTGTAAGTAATCAAATAATAATGTGAACAATTTTTAATGATAGATATTTCTTCTTACTAATAAATTTTCTTGCTTCTGTTTGCTAACGATTTAAAAATTAAAAAATCACACGCCTTTCTTGTCATAGCAAAAAAAAAACAAATATCTTAATTCACGCGCTGAATGTAATCTATTATATATTAAAGATATGATATGAGAATCACACTTTTTAACGATGACTTACCAAACTAAATAAATATTGCGAAAAATATATAAACTATAGCTACTGCAAGTATGTAGAAATAAAGAATGTATGAAACACAGAATTATCAATTTATTATGTTATTAGACTTCTGTGAACGAAGGTACGGCATCATCCACGGCGTCAATCCCGCCCTTTGAAAATTTGCTGAACAATCAGGCAGGTGGTAGTGTAATAACAGCACCTCCCGGTTTTCCTTGGAGGGACCCTCTTGATCAGATATTCGGTATCACCACCAATTCACCTGTGCAAACAGCATCTGTGGCATCAAATCAATTAGTGCGTATTATATAAATAGCAATTGATATTTAAAATTGTACACAAATATTTCTAAAATGTGACTAAACATGTATTAGAAGCTATTATTAAATAATATATTAATAATAATATAGATATTAAATAATATATTTCTTGAAATCGTTACATTTATTTAAAAAATACAGGATAACGAGAATAAATAACGTTTAAATATTTATCGCACTTTTTTTCTGTTTTCTTCATTCATGTTGTTTTATTCATGAGTATATTCTCTTTATTATTTATAGGACGAGCCGACCGAAAGCAATGCGCCGATCATGTCGCGTCCCATAAATTCCTTGGTGGAAGTCTTCACACCAATGAACAGTGCAACGCCAACATCCACAACCAGCACAGCTACCGCTGGCACTACACCTACTACTACTACTGCCAGTACCACCACTACTCCTACTACTACTGTCGGTACTACTCCTACTACTACTACTAGTACTACTACCACGCCAGCACCAACGACTACTGCTGCTACTACTACTACTACCACCACCACCACGACAACTACCACAACGACTACTACTACTTCGACTACAACCCCTGCAACGACCACGACAAGCCAAACAACGACAGGTACAGCTACACTTACTACAATCCCTCGGCTTGCACAAGCCGCTTCCTTCATAAATACTTACGCTGTACCGTATACAACAGGTCGAGGAACAGTTCCATCGTCATCCACCGCATCGATAATATCTGCGGACAACATATTAAACAGATTACAAACGAATACGATGGAGAATCCTTTTGGTACTACGTTCGGAGATTTGGCTTTCCTGAATTCATTGGTAAATTTTGTTTGTTTACAGTTTATATCAGCGATCTTTTCACTATTATTTCTTCCTTGAAGTATCGAAAAACATTGAAGAATACTTGATTGTATAATGTAATGAGCTATATAAGCCAATAAGTTAGTATAGCAAAGAATCTTCTTATCTTTCGTAGTTACAGAATAACAACGACATTAAGTCTACCACGCCGAAAACGCTGAGTGAGGTAGAGCAAATATTAGCAAACAGGGTGAGCAAAATAAATAGTAACATTTAGAATAAGCACAGTTACTTTTCCATTTAATGTATAAAACATATAAAATTATTAATTAGCAAAATTAAATTTAACAAACACTTTCCGTTAATATATGTTTTTATATCTCTTGTAGATTTTATCGCTTGCACTGGCTAATCCTGGACCGACGCGATCGCCAAAAGCGATTCAAGCCGTGAATTTGAATACGAATCCGAACGCCGTCAAGAATCGCCCGTCATCCGGATCATCTTCCAAGCCGATAATAATCGACTTATTACCAGTTTCACCACCAAGCGTTACCAGCAGCAGCACATCACCTACGAAGAGATACACCGAAGCAATTACGACGACAAAAGCTACCACCGCGTCGACTATCACGACTACGGCACCAGTCGTTATCACTGCCAAGCCTAAAACGACAGCGAGACCCAAAGCTACCACGTCTCAGGGGCCCGTAGGATTTGGCGCGGGTTTATGGAAAGCGTTGTTCGGCGGCAACAGCTTCTTCCAAGCGACTACTGCAGCGAGTGCTGCGAAAAACACGAAACCGAAAGCTGCAGTTAAAACGACGACTCAAAAGCCTATTGGGAGCACTCAGACACCGGCGCAGATGATCAAATCGCCAACGACGACGAGAAGCGTGGATATCTCGGATATTCACGTGGCCTCGAGCACATCGCTCGCGGACAGTATCATTTCCGCATCGACGCCAAGCACGGTCATTTCAACCACGCTCTTAAATAATCCGAATCCTAGGTTGAGCGACGCCTCTACATCCACGTTCTCACCCGAGGATGACGCGAAATTCCTGGCTGCGCTCCTGCGAGCCGTACAAACGGGTAAGTCGTTTATACCTTTTATCCTTTTTTTATATAACGAGATATTTTAACAAAATATAAATTTAATTACAACCAAATTTATTTAATTGAAAATTTAAAAAAACGCATTTGAAAATAATCAGACTACTTAGATTGCTTAGAAGTGTGTTTTCTTGTGTTTTTGAAATTGTAGAATCTACTTATAAATATTTTTACTAGCTGCGAAAATAAAGAGAAATTTCAAATGTAGAATAATGAACACTTCTTATAGTTTCACAGTTGCTAAATTCGAAAATGGATCGACAAATCCAAAATTCTGAATTTAACGAAGATCAAAAATAGAAGAACCATTTTAAAATCTAAGAACAATATTTATGTTTTTCTAAATCGCTGATTTTGAATTTTAGATTTTAAGTTATTAGTATTTAATGATCTGCAATAAATTTTTTATACTAGAAACGAGTACATCTGCGAGTACAACGCCTGGATTAAGTGACGATGATGAAGCTTTCCTGAGAGCTATTTTAAGTAATCAGGCTAGTGTATCTACCAGCACGGCATCATCCAGTGAAGTGAATCCTGCTGCTTTGTTGGCTCTACTCCTAAAGCAGCAAGGTATAGAACCCACGACACCAGCAACGAAACTTAGGGAACAATTACAATTATCCGTGAGTATTCTCCTTCCGCTATATTTTCTGAAATTCTATTTATGTGATTCTATTAAATGTCGATATTCCTTGAGCAGAGTCTAGGTCTGCTTACCCCAGACGCGACCTCAACCACGGTTCGACCAACAACTACCAATAGACCGGTCAGCACGGCGAGACAAGTGGTGACATCGAGACCAACGGCTAGACCAAGACCAACACTACAGACTACGACATGGGCTCCAAGTTCAACGTACCCGCCTCCTCTCTTCGGAGGAAGTGGATCTTCGGGTAGCGGGCTGGTTACCGCTACTAGAGCCATAGGCAGATTCCTTGGTGCTGCCATTTCAGTGAGTATTCTTCTCTCGTGGAAACTTTCCTTCAACTAATTAATAAGAAAATTTAATAAAAATCCAAAATTTGTTATATTTCGTACTAAAATAAATAACGAAGATAAATACGCAAATTAAACTTCACAAATAAGCTCTCCGTAGATTCGAAAATTACTTTACAAAGAAATATTATTTAAAAACAATGTGTTAATAATAAATCATGATTATAAAATTATAGAAATAAGTTATAAAAATAAATTAGAGTACTTTTTAATCATTTTATCTTCTATGTTTTCAAGTTACGATAATTAAAAAATATTTTTGTACTATACATGTTTGAATAATGAATAATTATTTTTAAAAAATTATCTCTTTGTATTAGTTATTAACATTTTTATTTTGGCTTTTAGGGTGCAGCCCAACAGTTACAATCTTTACTAAGAAATAGTACCAGAAGCGCAGCTGGCTAATATTAGAATGGAAAAGGACAATGTACATCAATTTTCGCTCAACCTGAGAACAAATGTCAGGATTGAAGTTGTAGTAGTTGTTAATTAATATTGTGGTTGCTGTTGAAAGTTACAATAGCAACATGGAAACGCTAGGAGAAAGTTCAATCAAGACAACAATAGAAAGTAAAAGCTTGCTCAATTATTATGGACTCAATTACGGACGATACCGTGGACGAACAGTCTTAAAATCACATTTTTCTTATATGTTACTAGAAAGAGACGTTTTTCTCGGAGTGAACAAATCAAACCTATATTAAATATCGAATAATAAATTCGCGATACACGTAATAATACTTAAAATAATTTTAAATAGACCGCTACGATGTACAAAGCTAGGATGTATTCGATGTCTTGACCGAACATTTCTTGCCGATTGCTAATTTAAGAAACGAATATTTCGTTCGTCGTTGTTAATTATTACTCAAGTTCATTACCAGTACAACTCTCGTTAAAATTTGAAAAAAAAATTTGATCGAATGTTCTAATTTATTCTATTTTTTTACATAGAGTTTACATTTAAATAAAAATTAACTTTTTATTCAAAGTAACCTTCAGAAAGCTGAAAAGATACGTTGAGATAATTTTACGACAAGATGTTCAGTGATAATTCGCAATGACGGTTTCGAAACAATCCTAAAACTTTGCAAACATTTCCAAAGTATCCTATCGATGTTCCTCCCGGTGTACTTGTGGAGATGTTTGTAACGGTCGTCATAATTAAGGTAATATACTAGCGCGACGCTTTTCATATTGTTAACTCGTGCTCTATCGATGTGTTTTGCCTCTACGCTTTTTTTCTTATTTTTCTACTGTTCTTCTTTCGTACGGTGAAGCGGTGAATGTGCTCAGTGGATCGTTAATATTTGAACACTTTGCATGCGGACGACTCTACAGACACAAGATTTGTGGCAGATAATTTAAACTTTTAAAATTTAACTGTAAGAAGTTAAACTGTAAAAGATACTATACACTACGCGCGCGCGCGCGCACGCACACACACACACACACGTCATCCGTATGCAAAGTTTTAAATAAAAAATGTGTATGTTTCGATTAATACTTTTGCAATTTCAAAAGAGAGCTTTTTATCTCTTCTACATCTCGCCCCGCATCCGCGTATCAATATATCATACGCAAATTGTACATTATTAAATTAAATTGTTTTTGGTGTGGGAGGGAGCGTAACATAATAGTATTTTTTAACGTATGTGAATAATGTTAGAGCGATTGAGAGAGAAAGATTGAGATTGGGGCAAAGCTAATTTAACTTGAGTAATTTCTTACTAGGCAACCGAAAGGTTTAAATGACATCGAAAAGAATATTTCAATGATTCTTTAGATGACTTTTAAATGTTACGTTGTTCGAATCGAAAAAGGAAAGCTCGTGGCGCTCGTGCGATGTTGGTCTCGTCCCTATTCTGATAGTCTGGTGTGTGATTCATAACTGATAGGGTATAGGCAAAACTCAATATTTTTCTTTATATAGAATAATTTTCACTCAAAATAATGTAATTGCTTCGATGTTTTTAATGCAAGTAGTTATTAGAGATTTTATTTAATAAATTCTTAACTTCCGATTCATACTTTTGTAAGCAATCGAGCCGCTTGTCTATCTCATGTATTTTTTTTTTTTAATAGAATGAAGCAAGACTCGGTATATGCGTCAAATTAACATATGAGATTATTTTATTATTTTTCAACTGGTAGCCTCATTACGAAACATTATTACAATTGTTGTGTGTCAGCATACTTTACAATATTAAATACATTAATACATATATTTGAATGATGAGCTCAATTCAAAATTAAACTCATTAAAAATTTGTAGTTTACTTATTTAACACGTTAGTACGCTATATAAAAACTGTACGATATTATAACTCGATGCCATTCTGGTAAATCAAGCGAAAAATGTTTTTTTATGCCTATCGAAATCCGTGAATCAATAAAAATGTGAATTTACGGAGCTATGAATGTATGGATCTATGCGTGCAGGTAAAATAAATATAAATAAAATATCAAAACTTCCGCGGAGAGAGGCGAAATTGCTTTCGGATTAGAATAAACAGGATAAGCAAGCGATTTTCAGCAATAAAACGCAGCGGTGGGTAATCGAATGCTGCATACTAAAAATGGTTGTGAAGATATTAAAAGAAATAATTTTATATATACATATATATAATTATCTACTCATATCTACTATATATAATCAATACAATTTATCAATATCGAAACGGTTTGTTATAAAATCTGTTTAATTGGCCGCGTTAAGTAAAATGCCATACATCGCGTTATAGCTTGACTCATAATTTATTTACTTATACTACGTACCGGAAGTTCATAAGAAAATCAAATAATATTTACGAGCAATAATTATCTTCTTTTTTTGCATTTAAGTCGCATATATATAATTCAGTCCGTTTATATGTTATGATATAGTTACACACCCAGTGTAAGTCTGTACATATGTATAATCGGTTATTCCTACATTTTATGTAGTAATAAACGTAATAAGTTATATTTCTCCTAAATATTAGTTAACATTACGGCGCCAATTGTATTACAGTAAAGTATCTTGATATATATAGAATAATGCCTTTCTCGCAGCTGGTGTAATATTTATTCAAAATACGCATCGAATGCCTTGTAATTATAATGTACATTTGCATATTAAACAACTTCTCATATTAAACAGACATTACTTTATCGAGCCACGATCTAATTGTGCTGCGTAATTGCAAAAGTATTTATTAAAAAATGTATATATATCGAACGTTCTTTAATTGCGATATACTTGCACATTAAACAACTTCCCCATATTAAACGTATGTTACTTTATTTACATTTGAGCGACGGATACAGAGTAACTTCTATCGAATTGCAGTAATACTAGTTTATACTATCATTACTGATAAAAAATAAACGCCATAATCACGATGACATGATAGATAATCGATATCGGTAAGTAATATGATTAAAAATATTTAAGAGAAGTATGACACAATGCAATGCGTATTTCTTAACTTTGTTAAGTGTAAGTTGACGAATCGGGGCGATAACATGTTAAATCATACAAGATAAATTTCACAAAGAAGTAACAGAAAAAGATTTATCTATTTATATATTGTTTCTTTCAAGAAACATATAAGTGATTTAATTTGTAGTAGATAATAAAGCCAGCAAATGATTATAAAGCTTAAGAACTCTGACATGTCTTTACACGCGATTTAGCATATTATTGCCTCAAAAATGTTTGAAATTCTTATACGCTCGTAACAATGACAGGTGAGGGTTTAATTCTGATCGTATGCACATGGAGAGGGAGATGAGATAGAATGAATATAATGTACATAAAAAGTATTATAATGCTGCAACTGCACACCATGATCTCATCAATGTCAATCATCACATTTTCTATTGTCTCGTTCTTTCTTTACTCCTAAATATGATTTTCTGACAACACAAATAAGTAATATTATACATTAGATGTACGCGTTTTATCTTTAGCGCTAGCACAGAGATTAACTTGGTGAAAAATAAGTGCTAGTGTTGACACTATATACAAATTTAAAAATATATTATAATTTATAATTGCTCTTTACAAGTAAAACAAAATACTGAATTTGCAAGACATGAATTTTATGCAAAATTTTTACAATAAATTGGTGTTATGGTAATTAACCATTACTAGTTAGAATAATTACTATACTATAAGTTATATATACACCTTTTTAGAAATAATTTTTCCGTTTCATCGCAAATATTACCGACAAAAAATATCACTTTTCATCAGCTTTGTCACAATATATGTCAAAAATTTGATAGAAGATTCGATAAATCATCAATCCAATTTTTCAATATTGAATCTTGATTATTAAATCTCAAATCAAATTAAAGAAAATCAATTTAAAGCGAAGCAATAAGATAATTAAATTATCTATTTGCTTTCTTGAACATACTTCACCGCATAAGCTACTTCTTTGTTACAGTTTTATAATTATTTGCGATGTATGTATACATATTTTAGTCCTAACTGGAATAGCTGCCGCTCCTCTCAAATATTCAATATTTGAATTTATACATACTTAATTACGGATAATAATGCTCGCAAATAATATCCAGCCGATCAAGTTATATCAATCTGACACGAGGAATAAATGTATCTTTTTATTCTATTCATATGAGATAAAAGAAAAAATAAAGAGAAGAAAACTAAAGTCGACTACAATGTGCATTTCATGCATCTGTCAGCAACATTCAGGTGTACAGTTATAGCATTGAATACAATGTATATATGTTCTAATTCAAGTTAGGAGTCCAAGATAGTGATCATCCTAAGACTACCAGAAACGATATTTCCAAATGATCCTAATAGAATCATTACTGCATCATTTGTACTGCACAGAATATTTCTAGATATACTACAGAGCATACAGATAAAATTATTGTTAATAATCATACTGTTCGCAATTTCTCAATAAATCATTCCTCGGTCTAACATTAAAGAATTAATCGTAACAAAATGGGGAATAAAATTGATACAGGCTACATATCGTATATCTATATTAGAGCTATGAATATTCAGTTATTTCTCTTATTATTTGCAATAAATCGTTAATCTTAATTATTCATTCTCGTGATATATTACTGTTCCTGTACACAATGTCCGACAACACTAGTTTGACATACAACATGTACTAATACATGTCCAAAAGGTAGTCTGAACTATATTAAGACTCAAAGAGTTCAGTAGGTCACCCTATATTCCAAAGGAATGATTAAAAGAGAGCATGTACAAAGGATTCGTCGTTTAGCTTCGAGATCAACATGTACAGGAATATCCTCTACGTAGCTATAATAAAAATAAATTCGTGTGTTAATAAATAAATAACAAACATACATATTATAGAGTGTGATGTTTAGTGGAAGACTGTATTAAGGGTCAATATATATAAGAGATTAAACTTTTCTTAAACTTTTTTATGAGCAAGGGTCTCAAGAATACAGTTGAAATATTGAAATTAGCAGTCAGAATTACATTATACACATTGCATTAATAAATGCAGATAGTATTATTAATAAATAAGATGACTATGAATGAAGTAATTATATGTTTTATAATCATGCATATGAAATGGCAAAGTTATATAATAAAGAATATAAAAACTATAAAAAGATTACCATCAATAAATAGCATAATAAATAAAAGTAGAAGAAATATATAAGTATATGTATAGTACAGACTAGAGTTTGATGATTTAAAAAAAATAAACATCGCGCAAAGTATCCTTACAAGACTTTTTTGTATATTTATTCGTCAAATATTGAATATTTTTGAATTTTTTTGTTTCTATAATATTTAAATAAAAGAATATAATAGAAGTATCGATAATATATAAATTAACTCAATAATAAAGCATTCAAACACTATGAAAGAGGCAATAAAATTTCAAATAATTATTCGACGAATAATCTTTTCATGTATCAATTTCAAGTAACTATAAATATTGCTACGCTTATAATACGGACTAACTGTCTTAACTTAATTTTGTGTACAATATCTATATAGAAGCTTATTAATTTTATTATGTATGTTAGCAATTTATAGGTACTCATCAATTTGTAATAAAATTATGATAGGCAAGATAACAGAATAAGAGACGTTCCATAATTATTTGTATTTTTTTATCTGCTGTATAATGTAGCAATGTTGAATCTTTCAATACCCACAACTGTATCCTTCATTACCCTTAATCTGCAAAAATTTCCATTCGTATAAGAGTGCTGGGCAATATTTTATACTTTTCAAACTAAATAATTTTACATGAGTGTACTATAGTCAAACAGATAATTTTTACTATAACAAACTGTTAAAATCAGTTTATTTTCTACTTTGAAATATTCAAATGCACAAGGCATTTCCAACTCTCTAATAACTCTGATCTCTTCTGATAAATAATTTTCTACAAGAAAAAAATAAAATCTTTACTGCAACTTATGACAATGTATAATAATCCTAAAAAGGTAGACAATTAAAGATAAATTTTAGGAAAAAAATTTATAGAAAAGATATTTTTTCCTTTTTGTAAAACAGGATATAAATTTTTACATCATAATATTATTTTAGAAAACTTGTAAAAGTTAATTTACAAGTTGATTATCTGAAAGTATTACAATATAATAATATCTAATACCTTTTTTATAATCATCAGAAAGAAATCAAAAAGAAAATATGAGATCATGTTATAGACAAGAATTTGCTATAAGATTTTATTAATTATTTATTACTTTTTAGTCTTAATACCGCGGTAGAAATTGAAGTAAATTATTTCGGCAATCAGTTTTATGCAATCGAAAACATTGTCTTATCCGTTTGACTGAGCGCTCATATCAACTAACATATAAAGTATGACTAAAAGTTCGGGGACAATATTTATTAATAAACAAAATTATATATAAATGAAAATTGTAATTCAATATTATATTTCTCATATAAAATATGGCATGCTATCAAATGCTGATTGCGGTATATTTAGCAGACCATTGCGAAAATGTTGTCCCCAAACTTTTTTATTATACTTTTGTGATATAATTTTATGATATATTACATTGTGTGTGTGTGTGTGTGTGTGTGTGTGTGTGTGTGTAGACGTGGATACATATGTGTACACATATATATTATATGCATGTATATTGTACAGTGAGTTTGAATAGAAGTATATATATATATATATATATATATATATAGAGGTATATATATATATATATATATATATATATACCTCTATATATGTATACGTGTGTCTCTATGTTATATACATATATAAATTTATTAATACGATAACGTGTTTGGTATTTCCTGTTTACTAACTGAATGCTCAGCACTCTTATCTTATAACGGGTTTAATTTTATACACGAATGCTTGGATGAAGATGAAGTGATTAACGTATGAGGCAGGTAGCACAGATACGTTGAGGCCCGATGCAGTCATCGTGGCAGAAGGCACCACACTGCCGACAAATTACCATGGCTCCTCGCATATTACATTCACACGGGGGTGGCGGATCGCCGCCGATTATCATCCCGGGTGCACCCGGTTCCGCGCCGCCTGTCACTCTGCTATCCGCGCCTCTCGCCTTCAGGGTGACAGCCTGATGAGAACCCTCCCCGGCGCTCGCCGGTCTTCCTCGCACTAAATGGACCCCAACGCCCATCCCTGCGATCTGCGGCGGTAATGGAGGAGCGGATGATGCTCTCGGTGCACTGTCTCCAACTCCCGTCCTTTGTACAAGTATATATTGCCCGAGACCATTGCTGGTGGTGGAACCAAGCTGCGCTATAGGAGTGCTTTCTGTAACCTACAAGGTATCAAGGGATTTAATTAACGAAATCATTACAAACGTTTTACGTAGCTTGAACTGGTATATTGCGCGTTCAAGCTACTTTCGACCGTCAATAGAAATATATTAAACAAATAACATTTAAATTAGAGCATTCTGAATTCATTTGGTTGCATAATAAGAGCATTCGTTTGTCATCCTAGTTATGATATTTGTGTAAATAAATTTTTGTAGCATTGCACAAAATCGTCGCTGCGTCGTTGCGTTTGATAATTAAAGTCACTATCTCTACTGCGTTTAGAAACCCAAAACTAATGTAAAAATTTGTTTGTTTAGGTACCTGTATGATACCGAGATCGTCACAAGCGACCCGCGAGATTAGCACTGTACACACAGAAAAGGATAAAATAGTATGCGTGTACGTCAAGTGTTTAGTACATGAGAACAGTACATACATTTCATACAATAAGAAAAATATTGAACGAAATATTGAAATATAAATTTAAAGATACTTATAGCAAAGTATGTATTTTGCATGGCTATTATTGTGATCTATCTTCCTAAGTTGTTTTTATAAGATTTATTACTAGGATTTCATGAGACCTCATTTGTTATAAGTACGTTGCATAAGAATTAGCGTTTCTTTTTTATCTGCATATCTCACGGAAATGTCAAGTTCATAAAAAGATTGATATTAATATACTTTACCCTTGATATAGCAAGTAATACATGTAAAAAGCGGCACAGCTAAATATCTAAACAGCTATGTTAATAATTAATATAATAAGTACTACATACCTCCGTCGATGTAGCTTGACGCGCCGTAGCAAATACATGTCTCAGCATAACTGCTTGCGTCTTATTTTGAGCTTGTTTATTGTGTTGTATCGTTTGCTGCGTTTTCTGGGGTTTGACCGTCGTCAGGGTGCGCCCACCAGATTTGCTGGTTGTGAATGCACCGTCTCCTCTAGCAAGTAAACTTGGCGGTGGCTTTAAATGAGCCTTCAGTTGATCTCTATTCGGTGAACTTTGTATGACCTAAAATAATATCAGCGTTCCTACATTTATCAATGTAATACGCATCGCACATTCGATAAATTCATATCTTTACTACATTCACGTATGACTCTGAACTGGATATTGAGTTAGTTTACCGCTTGACATATCTGATAGCTGCGCTCCAAATTGACAGCACCCGGAGGCTCTTTCGTAGAGCTTCTCGATCTACCACCTCCTTGTTCTTTATTACTATTTCTAGAGCCTCTTTGGCTGCCTTGATTGGACACGCGCGAGGGTCGCGTCGAAACGGCTACAGATGGTCCAGCATATTGCTGTTGCTGTTGTGGCGTTTGCTGCTGCTGCTGCTGCTGTTGTTGTTGTTGTTGTTGATGCACAGTAGCCGCAATTTGTCGAGGTTGAACAGAAGGAGCGGTTTGATGTTGAATAACAATCGCGTTCTGCGCGCGATTCTGAGATTGTACTCCCATTGTAGTCGGGAGAGTATTTTGCACTTGACTTGGCGTCGCAATGGTGTTTTGATTCATATTATTCCGCGCATTATTGTTTTGAGTATTTATTTGGGTGATGGTATCCTGCGTTCGTATCATGTTAACTTGCGCGGTGTTACTTTGCTGGGGTTGAAGCTGGGCCGAGATCGTAGACGAGTTATTTGCCAGTGAAGATGTTGTTTCCTGTTCCGGATTAAAGCTCGTTTGCACAAATCTGATGGATTGCAATTGCGGAAACGCAATGATCGGCGGACTTTGCGATTGCAAGCTCTTCATAACGCAACTGCTTCCCGGGGTGCTGATAGTTAAGCCGTCTGATTGAAATGTAGTTCCTTGAACAACTGGCAATTGAATGCAGTTAACGGATTCCACGTTGGTATCCGCGTTAATAAACTGCTGCGAAGAAGTTGTAGAATCGGTCGTTGTGGAGGTTTCGCTGCATTCATCTTGCGTCGTTACTGTGATATTAGCCGCTACCGATCCATCAAGAGCGGCCGCCACCAAAGGCCAAGGTACTTGCAACTCTTCTTGCGTCTTTGCAAAAACAAAATATATAAAATAATATAATATCCTGTCAAGTTTTATTGGATATATTTAAAAATAAGCAAAATTTATCAATTACTACTCGTCATTTTCATACTGCTCGGATAAAAACTCTTTTTAAACTTCAAGATCTATATTCTTCGTGTTACAATTTTATTTAGTATAGATATATCGTAGTATTTTAGTTATTTCTTCTCAATGAGCATTCAGAACGAATCAATCACTACTAATTATCTGTTTAGTGTTATTTTAAATCATGAAAGCTCATTTTAATTTATTCTCTCCTATGACTTAAAACAAAAAGCAGTAGCTAACTTTGTAATTTTCTTTATTATTTTCTAATTTTATCTTATTTTGTTGTTCAAAGTGATTAAAGTGACTTAGTAAACTGTACATTGTTTCTCATTTGTAATTATGTACTAAATTCTAATTTTTCTTATCTTGTTCTCTAAACATTCCGATTTGCTCTGTGTAATTAGCCTAAACTCGAACCGGTTGTTTCGAGTTCAAATCTTATACCAATACTCTAAGAATTGAATTATTTTTGAAAAAATAACGCGTGTGTTAATAACTAGTATGTTGTCATAAGTCTTTACAAAACCAAATTTAAGTTGTTTATATATATTTTTAAAGTTAGCTGGTATTACTGATATGTGTACGGTATAAATAATACTAAAATAATGATCAATGTACATATGCTTACCCTATTATTATTATTGATGTTATTCACGGTCGGATCCACTGTCCAACTACATTCTAACATTTCAGAGCAGACGTAATTATTTGCCTCTCGCAGAGCTTCATCCTCATTACCAACATTTACATCCGTTCCCGTAGTATCTTCAGTTTGTCCCGACACTACTTGCGGCTCGGTTACTTCTGCATTGGTTGAAGCCATTTCCATTCCCTCAAGAATAGGATATATTATCTCTTCTGGACATCCCGAAATCTCTTCATACATTTCGCGCATTTCTCCTCGTACCTAAAGCAAGATTCATAATAAAGTTTTTGACAACAGTGTGGAGATAGTATAATAACAATAGTATATATATATTTTTAACCCTCGGAAGACGGACGCCGCGTGCAGGGCGGACACCGAATCACTTCTGACCCATAGTAAAGTTTGTGTTGCAAAACAAATTTTTACACGAGAATGTTATTTACTTGTTACTCATTTAGTTGTTTTTTTTTTGTTTAGATCTCAAGATTCACGACTCCTTAGACAAGCCATACTGTCTAAACAAAACAGAGTCAGGGCATGGGTCTGGGAGGCGGTCAGAGAGTGACCCGGCGTCCACCTCCGGAGAGTTAATATTCTAATCTATCGAGATTGTGCTAATAATACATCTACGATCTCTTAATAGCGTGTTTGATATACATTAAAACTCTTACCTCGAGTTCATGAATACGTTGTAAAGTCTCGCTATCAATTTCCATTCCTTCTGGAATTTGTGATTCGCTGTCCGCTGGATTTTCGTGGGAAGTCTGTGTTACCTCAGTTTGATCGCTATTAATCAAACTGGTATCCTCTATAACGATGTCCGCGGGCCTAACTTGATCCTGCGGCGATGAACTTTCAAGGATACTCGTGGTTTCGCAATCCGATATCTGATAAATCTGATCGCTGGATATTTGTGAAATCTGTTCCTTTGAGATCTGAGAAATCTGATCTATGGATGCTTGTGATATATATTCGTTGGATAACTGCGAAATTGATTCTACAGACGTGTGTGACCCACGTTCTATCTGTTCGCTCGATCTCGGTGACGAATTATCATCAGGTAATAGCACGGTGTCTTCCTCCGATGCTTCGATTACGTTATTTTCTATAGGTGGCAAATTTTTCTCGCTCGAGGAAAAATCTGTTTCTTCCTCGTAGACATTCGAAATGGCTTCTTGACATATTTGCCTCGCAATATCATCAGCCTCAAGCATATCTCGTTTCTCGCAAATATCTGTGATCTTGTCAGCATCCTCTATTTTACTTTCATGCATTTGAATATCTTCTGACACTTCTATGGAATTCACTCGCATGGAGTCATCTAAATGTTTCTCATCAGTCACATTGTCCGGTAATGTATTATAATCTAAGGGCATTAAATGTTGTTGCACCTCTTCAGAATTAACTAAATCGTCGGAACTCTTTATGCTGATTTCGGTTTTGCAGCTGGTGTCGACTTTATCTTCTGTCATTACAATAGGACAGACAGCATGTTCCGACGTAGGAATATCCACATTAGCTTCCAGACGAAGTCTTAAACTTGAACGTGTTACTGCACCACTAGAACGTGACTCGGTAATATAATGGAGATTCGATTTAAGTTTAGGCTCTCGCTTTTCTCCCCATATCGGTTCAAAATGCTTCACTTTCCACGGATCTAGCTTATTCTTATCCCGTTCCGCTTCCATCTTCAGGCGTTGCTGATTTTCTGGAGTGAATTCTCCTTCTGCTAAACGTTTCCGCCATTCTAGGCAAGCTCTCGCAAAAAATTCATTGTTCAATCCAGAGATAGCAGCATCCTATAGGAATAAGATAAAATAAATTAAATTTCATACAAAAAAAGTTTAAAATTTCTAAACAATTATGCATCTGAAGTTAAAGTAATTCAATAATATTTACTATTAAGAAATTATATATTATTTAGTACCTGTCTATCTACAGCAGGCAGGAGTTGTGCGAGCTTCCGTTGATACAGTGGAGGCAAGCCTTGAAATGTATGCCTATTTAACAGAGCGCGTAAGCTCGTACTTGCTAATATACTCGCTGGGGACTCCAAATCCACGAGACCAGCTTCTAATTGCGCAGTTGCGGACAGTCTCTTTGTAGATCTCCTGCGGCTTGACTTTAAGCTAAATCCAGGTAAACTAGCCAAAACTTCTCTCATTGTTGCAGCAGGTTCTTCCGGTGCTGTATGCGTAAAAAATATACATTATTTCAGATGAGATAAGCTATCTCATATCAACAATAAAACTTCACTACAATTTCTACTTTATATAAAAGATCTAAAGAAAATTAAAAAAAAATGAACTGTGTTATACGATAATCGCTTCCTCAAATTATAATAGTATCTGTATTACGCGTTATTATTATATTAATCTGTGTATTTGCAATAAATATAGTGAAAACGTAAATGTTTATGTCAAACATCAATGAAAGTTTTCTCATTAACATTTAAAAAATATATTGCAGTTTCTCACAAACATATCATAGTTAAGAATATTACAATATAACATTGATTACGACATATATATTCAGATATTTGTACATAAATTAGAAAAACAATATATCGAAGCAATACGTGAATAAACAAATATGCATATATAAAGCATTACTTTATAATATACGAAATTATTTGAACAACAAATTGTCTTTGCTCTAATACTGAGATAAAATATCGATAAATAGATTGCGACATACTAAAGTTCTATCTGTCTATGTCACAAACTAACGTCGTATCAGAGTAAACCTGGTTTATGATAAGCACATATATAGTTCTAACGTTTACTAAATACATAAAATTACATGAAGAAAGTCAGTAGAACTGAATGCGTTTCTGTACATATTGCACCAATAGTAGTCTCCTAATGAAAAAAATGTAAGAAACCTTTATGGTATTTATCTACTTATACAGTATTGTGGCTATTTAATACATTAATAGCCTTCTGCTTATATTATACTCAAGATAAATGTTACATCTCGCTGCGAAAGGTATAAGCATTTAGAAATCATTGAATCCCACTGACTCTCCTCTGCGAACAAGAAACGAAGAGCGGAGTTGGAAAAATTACCGGTGTTGATGTGCTGCACGTTGTTGACCGGGGATGGTGGATCGTTCGGCGGCGGCGGCGGCAGCGGTTTGACAACGATCCTGGGCAACGTGCGCGAATTGCCGGACGCTATCGTCGTGTTCTTACGGCGCCGCTTGGCTTGCTGTCGCAACGCGTGCTTAATGACCTTCTTGCTGTGCACCATGCTCGAGTAGCCGGAGCAGCCCGGTATAGTCTCGCACCCCTCGCCCTTGCCGAGCTCCACGTCCGTGTCCATGGCAGCGCCTATGGCTTTGACATCGTCGGCGAGCGGAATGTCGGGGCACGCGGTGTAGGCCTGCCGCGGCATAGCGTTAGAACGTGCACTGACGCTTCCGTACGTTCGATTCCATATTCTCCCGCGATATTTCACAGCTCACGAATGTGTCCTCCTACACTCCTACCTCGCCGAGATATAAACATAACATTTCTCTCCCTCTTCCTTTCACTCTCTCTCTCTTTCTCTCTCTCTCGCGCGCGCTCTCTCTCTCTCTCTCTCTCTTTCGCTCTTTCTTACCAGTGACGACCGAGTGACATTCTTATCGGTGCGGTCGAAATACGCTGTGAAAGATCTCGGCGGAGGTATTTACGTCATTTCGTTCCGGGAATTCGTGAATCCACGGGATTACATTCAGCGGCGAAACGTTACGGTTCCCTCAGTCGCATAGCGAAATGCCATCCGGGAAAGTGGAGAAGCTTCCGCTTCTTTCGGCCATACTGTATTTACATATTTATGCCGTGGAAACGTCGCCGAGGGTAGACGCACGACTCGTTTTGCATCCAACGTATTCAACGTTAACGTGTATTGCGTATACTCGAGCAATGCCAATGCATACTATGCGTATGTACATACACATATAAATACAATATATAACGTTCTCGAAAAGTGGAGCTGAGTCGTGGAGTACAAAAATATTTGATAAGAACGCGAGGTCCAATTTTAGGCATGAATGGAAGAGATAACATATGACGAATTGGGAGCGTTCTGTTTTACTACGTTGCGATTGACCGCCCGCCATTCATGACAACCGGTGTTTAGAATTTTTCCATTGGATCGACCAATCAGAGAAGGTTAGGTTATGAATTGATCAATTGACGACGTGAGCAATTGTATGCCTTGCAACCTCTCAAGTTCCTACTTGTTTTCAACGGGCATCAAATAAATCGCGATTTTTTAACATTTTTTACGAAATGCCTGAAAATGCCTGTAGAATTAAAGGGTGCGTTCAGAAACATCACCCCCGAGCGCTGAAAATCCTACAGCATATGTCACGTGCACTATGGGCGCGTTCAGCAGACCAAGCCGCTCAGTAGCAGTCGAACGTGATTGGCTCTTACTTTTAGAACCAACCAATCAACGCAGAGTGTTGATAAGACGAACTCAACAGTTGTGTCTGCTGAACACGGCCATTTTCAGCACTCGGGGGTGATGTTTCTGAACGCAGTCATGTGATTGGTTGAAGCCAAAGGTAAGAACCAATCACTTTCTACTGCTATATAAATATCGGCCGAGAAGAATGACAAGTGAGAACTTGAGAGTCGATCTCTCGTCGAATTTTGGAGCAAATAAGGTTAACGTCGTGCGGTCGTGCCGACGCTGCTCGTCATTAAATAGGAATCTATTGAATATTTATTTGTGAAGTATTTGTTTCTTCACCATCAATCATGACGCTCACAAATAAGGTAAGAAAAATGTTTAATGTCATTATTATTGCGCGCGACGATTGGAAACATTTTATTTATCTGCAACTCGAACACTCGAAATTTTTTAGATGGATATCGACGAGAAGAATGCTAAGGGAGAAGGCTTTAAACCGTATTACATTACGAAAATCGAGGAATTGCAGTTAATTGTTGCTGAAAAGAGTCAAAATTTAAGGAGACTGCAAGCACAGCGTAATGAACTCAACGCCAAAGGTATCTATTTTGACTTAGCGCGATACAAATATTGCTATAAAACTCGGATATGTTCTGTGATGTAAGAAAATTCTTTGAATTGTCATCTTTTGTAGTACGCATGTTACGCGAAGAGTTACAACTCCTGCAAGAACAGGGTTCCTATGTCGGGGAAGTGGTTAAACCTATGGACAAGAAGAAGGTCCTAGTTAAAGTACATCCGGAGGGCAAATTTGTGGTAGATATAGACAAGAACATCGACATCAACGACGTGACTCCAAACTCGCGTGTTGCTCTGCGTAACGAAAGTTACACTCTGCATAAAATATTGCCGAATAAAGTCGATCCGCTTGTCTCCCTTATGATGGTAGAGAAAGTGCCGGATTCTACCTACGAAATGGTTGGAGGTTTAGATAAACAGATAAAGGAGATAAAAGAGGTCATAGAGTTGCCGGTCAAGCATCCAGAATTGTTTGATGCTCTTGGAATTGCACAGCCAAAAGGTGTACTGCTGTATGGACCACCAGGTAATTTATTGTTTATTATATTACCAAAGACAGACCACATATGTGGAACCTTTATATTCTATCGTAATTATCTGCTGCATGCTTATCTACCATAATGGTGTAATAACAATGCAACAAAATCTTTCAGGTACCGGCAAGACTCTTCTTGCAAGAGCGGTCGCGCATCATACCGAGTGCACCTTTATTCGCGTATCCGGATCTGAGTTGGTGCAGAAATTTATCGGAGAAGGTTCGCGTATGGTTCGCGAATTGTTCGTCATGGCAAGAGAACACGCACCGTCTATAATATTCATGGACGAAATCGATTCCATTGGAAGTTCCCGGATTGAATCTGGGTCTGGTGGAGATAGTGAAGTATGTATGAAATATATGTGTGAATACAAATATAGTTTCGTAATTGTGTTCTAAATTATATACTTTCAGGTACAACGTACCATGTTAGAATTGCTGAATCAGTTGGACGGTTTTGAAGCAACGAAGAACATAAAAGTTATTATGGCCACAAACAGAATTGATATCCTGGATCCGGCATTATTGCGGCCCGGGCGTATTGATCGTAAGATCGAATTTCCACCTCCAAACGAAGAGGCTAGATTGGACATCCTGAAGATTCATTCTAGGAAAATGAATTTGACACGTGGAATAAATCTGAGAAAGATAGCTGAACTTATGCCTGGGGCGTCAGGAGCAGAAGTCAAGGTAATAAAAGATGGTTCTCTACCGCAGTTTCATAATTGAGAGCATGGAATAAATGTTAAATGATCTAAATCTAATTTTCTGCTCTTAACATTACTTTATTCCAAAGATTTTTTTAAAAGAAGAATATATTAAGATATCTTGTGCCATTCCACTATCTTAAATTTTAATAAAAAAAAACTTTGAGAGCTTTTCTCATATTTTACTTTTATTACGATAAAAATGAAGTTTGCTAAATTTTCTGGCATGCCATAACTTCTTAAATATTTGCATACACGTTCTAAAATGTGAATGTATATTGTTTATATTATAGGGTGTTTGTACGGAAGCTGGAATGTATGCTCTTAGAGAACGTCGAGTTCATGTAACTCAAGAAGATTTTGAGATGGCTGTAGCAAAGGTGATGCAGAAGGATTCTGAGAAAAATATGTCGATCAAGAAGTTATGGAAATAATTAGCTTCGCAATTTTTCAACGTCTCATTAACAATCTTTAATCTATTATTCTCTAATAGCGAATTATTTTAATGGCAATATATTTAAGATGTGTAAACGTAGAAACTTCATATATGAAATTAGAGATAACAGTAAAACTATTGTAATATCAAAACAATGAAATTTTATTACTGTATTTAAAAAATACCATACCATTATTAAATACAATTTAATTTAAAACAGATTTTTGCTTATATGTACCTTATGTAGTAATAGCAATGCCGTTTGTTGAAACAATTTTTTCATTATCGTACCCATCGTTCTCAATAGCGAGACGCTCCATTCAAGTGTTTGCTCATAAAACATAGGGATGTCCACTATTATGTTTATTTGATAATTATATTTATCCTGAGATTAATGAAAACATAAAGCCGTCAACCATGTATTTTAACTTAAAGATATATACAAGAAAATTCCCTGCAGTACAAAATACCTTGTATCTAACACGCAAAGAAATCTATAAAAAAAATTCAAGAAAAATTATATGGTTGCTGCAAAGAAGTCTTGATTGCTCTACCAACTGTGGCAACTGTACAATCAATAAGTCTCCCGCTTAATTTCTAAAATATTGACCCATAATTAACTGACTTTAGCTGACTGCTTCGTAAAGATTCGCCCCGAGTGTTTTAAAATCACTATTTAGCATCAGACGTTGAAGCCAATCCGCCGCTAAATCGTTTGGCGTTGGATTATCCGGAATCTGCCCATTTATAATAGGAATAATCTTGGCCAAGGCCATAGTGGTTTTGTTAACATCTACAAATCCATTCAAATCATTTGCAGCTCCTTCCCTCATTAAAGTCGGATTTTCAGCGCTCGATTCTCCCAAAAGCGATGTTTTATTTACACCAACAGTTTTAGAAGGATGAAGGTATTCAGTGAAGTATGCAGCTATATGATCCATCAATAAGACAAATCCACTTCTGATATTTTTCTGCATTAAATCCTGGACTTCTTCGCTCTCCGACACATCTAGCATCTGATCCCTTAGCTTCGAATAGGTAGATGTGTCGCTGTTTTCAATATCATGTTGCAACGTGTAGTAAGTGAAATTTTTCACAGGATCTCTCGAACTGTCGGCCGACACGGATGATGTAACTGCCCAATAAATTTGTTCTAAATCTCTCAACGTTAACTGCTGCGTCAGAGACAACGAAGCTGTGACTTCACCAACTTTACTCTTTATGAAACTGCTCAAATTTTTAATGCCCTCGTATAGAAAATAACTAGAAAGAGCCATGTATCTTGCCTGTACCTCACTGCCGATAGTCCCATTATCCACATTCTGCACACCTTTGTACATATGTCCGCTAATCAAATTGAGCTGAATTCTAAGAAATGTAACTAGCATAGTATAAGAATAAATTATTACGGCCGATCGCGTGATCGCCAACACCTTCAGTTGACTCCAGGACGTTAGCTTGTCGGCCGAGCCGTCTCTAAGTTGATTTATGATTATCTCCGTGTCGATTTCTTTGACGACAGAGTTTCTCAGAGTCACCGCGAGAGACGATATCATTTGGTTACACGTTCTCTCCGTGCTCTCATAGTACTGTCGTTTCCTCGTCCTTTCCATCAGCATCCTGATCTCATTTTCTTGCCACTCTTGCAGCTTACGCTGCGTGTAACGCGTCAAGAAGATGACGCTGCTAATAATGACGCTCCCAAATATAAACTTACGCCTGTGACGACTCAAAAATCCCCGAATGCTTGAAAACATGTCTTAAATTGTTTATGTAGATCCGATACACGTACAGATATATTACAAAATGTTTAAAATTTGTCCATAACAAACTTGGACACTAGGAATAATCCTAGAAATCATACACGTTCATTCCATATTATCTGACTCAGACTGCATATTCGTGGCAACGCGTTCTAATCTGTTTGTGATATAATTGGTTGTGTCAATAAATCTCTCCACGCAATTCACGAGACACTTGTGAACTTTAGGCTCCAGGCGTAGCGACGGCTTATCCATACAAGTCTCCCAGCAAAGACCCGTTAATTCATGTACTAATCCCTGAAAATATCACAGAAATATCATAGTAAAGAAATATATGGTAAGATATATGATAGATTATTGAATTTAAACTTTCTCAAGTATATCAGTGAAGTTGAGATCGAACTGTCCGATAAAGTTGGAAATGATGAAAAATATTTATTTCAGGTTTCTTTTTTTAGCAATTACAAAGTGCGAAATATAAATAGAAAATATCTGCAAATTTATTTGCGCAACCGATCCAGGAACTAACCTGAAAATGCTGCTTTTTCGTTTCGGTCTCGATAAAATGCTGCAACTGATCGTCCAGGACAACCTGCGTGTCCGAGTTTTCCATAAGACTCATACTTCGGATCCTCGCGTTCGTATATCTACCTGCATTAATGCAAATTTTCGACTTTTTCGAAATTACCTTTACCCTTACGCAATGTAACGATACCCGGAACCAGAGTTTTATATATATTCGCGAGAAAAGTCCTCTCTGATAATTTATTTGCTATCGGTACTTATCTCGATTCTCGCGTGCTCGATTCGCGTAAATGCGTAGGTAACCTTTAAAATTCTCCGAAAGTTAATCAGAATCAAAAATTCCCTAGCGACCAGCCAATCAGCGCAGTCGGTCATGCATCAACGTGAAGTTAGCCACCGTGCCCGTTTGTTGAATGCAAGTCACGTTCGAAGTTCCTGAATATAGACGCTGATGGGAAGAATGAAACGTATCAGTAATTTGTAATGCTAATTTTACTTCTTTTACTGGCAGTGATCAAGATTATGCATTATTAATAATGCATTGCAGAAAAGTGATAACTCTCATCTCGATTCACCAAATCACCGTACGGTTTTTTCTTTCAAAATTAATGTCGGTAAATGATTTGTTGCCGCACATTTTACAGATTTACTTCCGTAGTAATAATATTTATATGTACGAACTATTTAATTTTGATTTATTTTTTATTAATAGAAACTGCATAGATAAATTAAACTCGAACATTTTGGAAAACCGTCCTGAAAATTGCGGACGGCGTGTCTTTTATTTGAGAAACTCTAGCAGAAGATCCACTATGGATCTTTGATTAAAAAATTAATGAAAAGATCGAGTTTCGCGAGTTTTTTATCATGATTACAGTTTCCGTTTGAGTGCAGCGAGTGCGGGTCGTGCGGGAGAGTGCAGCTGAAGCGAACACGTTGCCCCTACGCCACTCTACGGCCTACGGCCTACGGCCAGTGTTCTGTCATTTGTCGTGTAGCGATCGGGAGAGTGTGTGGTATGGTTCGTCGGAGTCGTTACGTGCGACACGGTTCTATTCGCTTTTCTCCGGACATTTCTTATCAGCCCCTCGCGTCAATATGGCCTGGCTGTCCGGTCTTGCTGATAAGGCAGAGAACCTGTTAAATAAAATTGACAAAAACACCGCGGCCGTCTTGAATAAAGATAAATACGAGATGCCGCAGGGTCATCTGTCAGAAGTTACGTGGCTCTCTCCGGAATCTGGGTAATTGCGTTCATGTCAATCTCCTAGGTTATTACTGTTGGTTGAATATTTGGATTAGTTGACTTCACTTCGTGAAATTCGTCATTCGTCATTTCACTTTATTTGTACACAACGTAAAATAATATAAATAATAATTTGTTTATTCTACCAAAATGTCGCTTGCGCTTTCATCAGATTTTAAACATATTGCTGATGAAAAAGCGATCAATGAAAAAAAATATTTTCTAAACAAATGAACGTATTACAGAGGTAAAAAAGTGCATGAAAATATAACGAGCTGTTCTTTTGATTCAGGTTAAATGGAAGCACGTCCAAGACGCCTCTATTGGGATTATCGGAGCATATTCCCTACACAGCTCCTACTTCAAGTTTAACGTCGGTGAATCTGTTAAATGTAACGGCACCTAAAGAGGACGCGCTATTTACATACTTGAATATGCCTGACCCGAGTCCGAAGAGAACAGCGGAATCCTATAAATCACTGTCAACTACTTCATCGTTATTGGTAGAACATCCTACCGATACAGACTCGGATCTATCGATTCAGAGTGATCGGATTAGTCCAACTCCGTCTCATGTTTCAATAGAAATGGTCCCCAACGCTTTGGACGATAAAGACGCTGAGACAAGTACGGAGAATGCAAATTTATATCCATATAATGAAGCGCAGACCTTGGATTGTGGAAATCTGGATAAGTCGACGACAGAAGCTACACAGAATGGTACATCTTAATTTTTACATCAATTTGATTTGTAGCGTATTATTTTCTACATATATTTTGCATTTTTACATTGTAGAACACAGTAATGCGGAAGAACATTCAGATATATTCTATCCCCAGCCCAGATATAAAATAAAATCAAACGGTGTAAAAACGGATAATTTAGATAATCCAATTGATTCAGCGAACAAACGAAAATATACAAGAGAGATGGAAAGGCACGTGGAAAAACAAAATGAATTTCCTGGGAAACAAACAGACTATCAGAAAGAAATCGTGGTTTTAAATGAACAGTTGAAAACTTTGGAAGTAGAAAAGTTAGAGCAGTCAAAGCAAATAATAGATTTGCAGTCTGTTATTGACAGGAAAAAGCAGGAATTAAACTCGATTAGATCGGAACTAGAACAGCATAAGGCCAGAGCGCTGAGAACTTTACAAGAAAAGGAAAAACTCATAACAGAACTGAAAAGCAACGCACCAACAGCTATGGATGAAGCCACGATCATGGAGTTGAATCAATTAAAGTAACGTCAATTAACATTTTTACAACTGTGTAACGTTAACATCCGACAGTCGATCTGTGAACTCGATTTAATAATCTATTTTATCAAATCACAGGCAGGAACGTGACAGTGTTAGGGAGGAAAATCAGCAAATGTGCCAGCAGCTGAAAATGCTGAGGGAAGAGTTGATAAATGCAGATCTGAACTTGGAAAAGATAAGACAAAAGTCAGCCGAGACAAATCTACAAAATCAAGAGATTCTTGCTAGTGAAAGACGTCGAAGATTAGAAGCGGAAGAAGATATAAGATTGCGTTCAGAAGTAAATCACATTTTTTTGCATCTCTACAAATATCACATCTCTAAGTTATTGAATTAATAAATCAAAAGGGTTGAAAATACAAATGTTTTAGGAAACAAGATCCTTGAAAGATGAACTAATTAGTCAACGTAATGGATTTAGTTTACAATTACAAAAGCAGAATTCGGAGATTTCTAAGCTTAAGTTGCAATTATCTGTATCGACAACGCCGAGCAATGAAATGGATTCGAGAATAGCGACTCTTACCCAAACTCTGGTTCTAAAACAGCAAGCATTGGAATGTTTGACGACAGAAAGAAATGCATTACGTCTCCAGCTTGAGAAGATTGAGGTAAATATAATAGCTTATAAATTTTTATAGAGAATTTTTTTGTTTGATATATTTACAAATAAAATTTTAAATTTTGATATTGTAAAATTTAGTATTTTAAAATATGTTTCCCTCTAAAGAATGTTTGGTCTTTATGTACGTACATACTAACAACAGTCTTCTTAACAGCATGAATACAGAAATGCTGCAGGCAATTTACGGAGAAACATATCGTACAATAATATAAACGATACGGACGATGCAAAAGCTCAAGTTCCCACGTTTTTAATAGAAACACCGTTCGATACCAGCGTTGCTAGAAGAGTAAAAAGAGCTTATTCTTCATTGGATGCTATAAGTGTTCGAACAGGAGTATTTTTAAGGAGATATCCATTAGCTAGAATTTTAGTACTGATTTATATGGTAAGTATACGCATACGTATTAATTGTTATAATATAAATACTGTTACAAAACGCAATATGTATTTTTATAGGCACTACTCCATTTGTGGGTTTTGATAGTTCTCTTATCCCAATCACCGGAAGCCCATTAATAAAAATTAGTACTACAAATCTTAAAGTAAAAAAAAAAAGATATATATTTAAAGGAATTTCACAATTTTTGTGAATATCAGAAAGCAATATTTGAGGGATTAGATCTTGTACAGTTTAACATAGCATATCTTAATCTATAAAATTATTGTTAAATAAACATTCAAATAAAATATAGTGATAAATCAGTGATAGTCATAAAGTATTATGATTGTAAAATTGTCTTTATTTTTTTACTACATATTTAAAAGGGTATAATGTTACGAGGCTACAAATATATATGGGCAGCATTTGAAATAAAATTAACTGGTGTAGAATTGAAGGGTGTAAATAAGTTATCATATATACAATATTACTTTGTTGCAGTAATATAATCATTAATTATAATCGAGTTAAAAATTTTTATAATAATAAACATTCTGTTCTTCCTTTAAAGTCTTGGGGAATGCAATATATATACCAAGTATATACTCTTTCAATTATTTTTAAGTCATACAAGCTATACAAAATATATTGGTATACGATATAATTATGAATATTGCTCTGTTAAATACTAATTTCTTATTACAATATTTGATTCCGTTTGTTTCCAATAGCGATATTAGAAATAATTAAGCACAGTGATATGACAAGACATTATTTGTAAATATTTTTATGTATTAAATACATTTTTTAATGTATTTAATGTATAATGGGTTTATTCTCGTGCATGCACGCACGCACATATGCATGCATACACACATACACATACGCACATGTCCATCTCATATGTAAGATCAAATTCATAAAATGTTTTGTAATCATGTCGACAATAAAATATTCTTATCTAATGTAAATACAGTAAATATTATGACAGACATTAGGTCTAATCACTACATTGAATCTAAATATTATCTAATCGTCGCTTATTATAGATGTATATTTGTATTGCTCCAGTGATTGGAAAGTGTGGCGTACATGCACCTTAGGCACAAATTCTCTCTATTCGCATACAGTTTGATTGAATAATGCTAAAAGGATATTTATCACATGACTTTCAGTATGAAGTTATTAATTATATATTCCTGAAATATATATATATGTACTATGAGATTTTATCACACAATTCTAAAATAGATTAAATGCGGTATTAACATTGCTTTCAATTTGTTAGTTATATAGATATCTCAAAATACACTACGATCATAAAATAAATAAGGATTTATTACTTATCAGAGATATCAAATCTCTTCTTTATAATGTTATACTTACATCATCATTGCTAATAGCTAAACTCGTGAAATAATCGTCAAATTGAAATCAAATTAAAATTTCCAAAAATTTTGCATACGTCAAGCTGGAACGTCGTGCGCCAAATTACTGGAAAAATATCACATAAAAATTGTTGACAAAGCTAATCTTAAGCATGCAATTGATGATCCTAGCTTACATTTTTTATGAAACACAAAAAGTAGTCAGTGCTGAAAAGTATTAGACTGTATTTATAAGCATTGGAGATTTATTCACGACTGGACTTAAGTCTATTGTGACCTGGTGTTAATTTCTGCCGTAAATATCAATTCCATCGTTCTCTTTCTTTTTCATAAAAAGAATTCATCATATTTCTCGACGCGTAACGATTATGTGATTATCAATGACAACTGTCACGCACATATAAAACTAAAAATCGCGTAAAATTACGTATCTTAGTACAGCTACAGAAATCCGTTTGACAAAACAGCCACGCAAGTTAGGTAAAATATTGCAAAGAAGATAATGTGGGTGTAAATACAGACTTCACAGCCATGTAATAGTAACAGGGTACGCTCGATTAATGTTTAAATTGTTAGATCGGATGTTATACTAATGTTCCATAAAAAATCCGAGAGAAAATCTTCTTTCAACTGACTTTGTGACTCTAATATTATCATGATTACATAGTATATACCGAAACAATATTGTACGAGTAATGTTACGAGGATTTGCAAATGTTACGAGAATTGTAACATTTTTACATTATACATCATTACCGCTTCTGATTTCGAAACATTAGCCGTTTAATGGCAATCTCGATTATTTAGATAAATAAGCTGACGGTAATTAAAATCGATTTCGTCAACTGTTTTATTCAGCATCGTTGACGATTGGAAATAATGAAAAAGAGTTGAAAATTTCGTAAAATTTTTTTTCCAACTCAAACCAGCAGCGATCAGTTAAAGTTTTTATTCAGCTGCTCTTTAGTTGGATACCATCATACTTTTTTCATTTTCTTTATATTTATGTAACTCCTTCCCCTCCACCTTCGGGAGTTGTAGAAATATTTCAAGATACAATAAACGTCAGATAATTACAAATTTAAACGGGGCGGCCCGGAAATGTATTATAACGTTTCTGCAACGTTTCTATGTTCTATTCTGCGATAAGCGGAAATCACCGGAAATCAAAGCGTAAATTAGCATTGCAAAGTGTTTCGATTATTCAAAACAGCTTTTTAACGTGTAACTTGTAAATCGAATTGTGTATAACATTGTAACATTATTCGTTCCTTTACTTCAGCATTAATTAGCATTGTCAATAGCAGACTGATTTCCGTAACCACCATTCTACCTCTCAATAATCGATTACCAATGAAAAATCGTGTAAGGCTTAACTGCCACGATCCTAATGAACTAGATTAATTAATGGCGTTCTTCCCGTATCTTACACTACTCGAAGCGATTATACTAACACTCTCTTGTTTGAGTGCTTATGCCATCTAAACGTTTAACAAGTATCTGACGTTTAATCAAAGGATTACTTGTCGCTCTGACACACACGGTTAATTTTAAATCCTCCAAAAGGAGCAATCTCATTTGTTTCGATATCTGAAACAGTGAAAGTCTTAAACGTTGGAAAAAAGTGCACGAGTTCTGCCTGCGTATATTAACATCCAAGAATAATTTTCCTCGCTATATCTCGGAATTATTATGTAATAAGACGCGATTACATCGGGTTCCCCCTTATTTTATACAAATTGCCGCGCACAGCGAAATCGCTCGTCTCTCTCATCGAAAGCTTCGTTCTGACATTTCAGCGCAGCATTAAATTCTTTAGTCTACAGTTTGGATCGAACTTGTTAACGCGAAACAATTTATTTGTTCAGTGAAATCTCTATCGCTCTAAATACTATAGATATCGTAACGTGAATACGAAGGTGGAGAGAGCGTTCCAGAATAGACAAAATTGGAAATATAGCATTGCTTCCTCCGTAAAATTGGAAGTAGAAGAAAGTCACTTTTTTTTTTATCGATATTATCGAAGAATGGCATCATTCTCCATTCCTCACGTTCTAATATTCGGCGTAATCGAGTCTCAAATTTAAACTCTGTTAAATTCATATTCGCGTTCTCAACAACGCGCGACAAATATAATTATTTATCAATCATCATTTGCGAATGTCAATCCCGTCACTTATTACCGCCTTTAAAGCTTAATTTCCGAAAAGTCATTCATTCTCAATTTCCAGTTTCGAAGAGATGATTGATGCAAATTTCTCCGGCAAACAAAAAAAATTAAAAATTTCACGAAGAGATAACGTTGCAAGTTCACTTTCCGTTAATTCTGGAGTACTCCGTACGTGAAAGCTAATGATACTTGAGTTCTTATAGACACTGGGACCCTGCAGAGTAACATAGGAATACATTTGTCAGTTTTTTTTTTTTTTACACATTACGCAGAACAGGAGAAGAGTCTATGTCGGAGTCTCTTCTCCCGAAGAGAAGTGTATTAAAATATATCTAAAGAGTCAAACATGTGTCTAGATACGCGGAGTAGAGGTGGCGGGCGCCTAAATGACTCACCGTCTATTTACGCGCCGATTGAGAAGTTATCAATCTTCGGGTGGTGAAAGATCAACATTCGCTCCTGTCCGAATCTTCGGACTTATCGGATGAACTTGACTCGTCACTGGTGCGGTCGCGATTACCGCAACCGTAGGTGGCTCCGTGAAACGAATTTCTCGTCGAGACGGCTTTCTTCGTGGGGGACGAGTCCTCCGAATGCGACGGCATTCGCGATCTTCGTTGCTGACCTTCCGGATTATTTAACACGGAACTGAGGAACCGTCGCGTTTCCGCCCGCAACGCGTTCAGACGCCTCTGGAGGATACGATTGCGCCGCACGAGAATTATCGTGCGTATGACAATGCTCAAGAGATCTGCGGGAACGATTGAGAAACGTGTTAGTCGAGAATTCGTGAATCGGGTACAAAATGCGCGAAAATAAGATGAATCGAGCGAACGCGAGGGATTTACGAGGATATGAGGATTACGAAGACTGCCTCGTGGAGGGAAAAAACTTCGACAAGCTTTGCTTTATCCTAACGGGGAGGGTGCAGATGCGAGAGTACAGTGCAAAATTGTCTGTCTTCCTTTTCCTTTTTCTCATCATTGGATCAATTCAATTATCATCAGTTTCTTATATATACTCTTTTTCTTTTTATAAAATTACGATTTCTTTTTATGCTGACCGTGATCAAATCATAGTTCGTTTCTGAAGAGATTAAGGAAGAAATTATAAAATCGATTTAGTACTTCTGAAGAAAAAGGTACATAAAGATCGGAAAACATGATTCTGTAGGAGAGCGCTTGAAAAGTTCTGATGTCATCAGATAATTGAAAAGAAGTTCGTGCAATTCTTATTATTAAAAACCAAAATCTTCGAGAAATTAACACAACGAGTTAACGTACAGGTACTGATTGACTAGTATGTGCGGCATGACGCAGGTTTGAACTTGCCAACTATTGCAACATAAAACAATATGATTCATAGAAATGCTCTCGAAAAACGAACTCTTTTGGTCACCCGATGTTTGGCATTGCATTTCTTGGAACGATTTAGCTTTGTCTATTTTAAATCAAGGCTACAAGCTGAGGGTGCTAAATCCTGATGACAGGATTTGATGACAAATCAAATAAAAATGACAAATTTTTTAAAATTGCTTATCCATTTTTAACAGTGATATATAATCTTTTTTTTTCTTTTTTTTTTTTAATTTAAATATACATTGCATATATCCAATAATTGTTTACAGCTCAAAACGCAAATAGCAGAAAATAATGTACTTGAAAAAAAAATTACAAATTAATACGTGGATTACATTTTCAAGTGCACCCTCCCCGTAAAGCGTGCTATTTGTTTTTGTCAGTTTTGCGGTTCTGCCTCTCAGTTTCGAATGAATTCACAAGACTCTTTACACAAAGGTGTCTTTTCACATTGAAAAGACGCTTATTTTCAGCGAGCAAAACTTTTTTATTTATATATATATAAATGAAAAATATTATTCTGGGGTCGCGTGATTTCGCTTTGACGCTAGCGTCAAAGAAATAAAGTTGAATTTTTTATCTATCAGCGTTGTCGCTGAATCGTCATTGATCGTCCCGGTACAATAAAAAATGGACTTTGAATTAATGATTTTCAAGTAATATCTTCAAGTAGTAATATTTTTACAGACATATGTATATAAATAAAAAATATTATTTCTGAAGATTTTTTTGCTCGCTCGAAAATGAGCGTCGAGCGTCAACATGAAAAAGCACTTTAATGGAAATTGCTTGCTTGGGCGACTCGAATCGAAAATGCGTGTTGCCGCGAGGATTGCTGAAAAATCTCAAATAATTCCGAGATAAAATGAAACATCTCGCGTGATGTCGCGTTAGCGATCCCTTTTACCTTTTCTTCTTTCCGCAACGTGTCGTCTGTAATTCTCGTCCACATTCATCGGGTGCTCCTCGCTTCTGTCCGCTTTCACGACGGAACAATTCGGGACCGTATCCACGTCGTGGTCGAGTCTCCGTGAACAATGTTCGCCGGGTGGTACGAGCGTTTCGACGATCGTCCCGGTACGCAGCATAATCTCTTCCAACGCTAATCTCCGCCGTTTCGCGCCGTTTTCGGATCCTCGTCGGCGGCGAACGAGGGTGCTAACGGTGGTACCCGCCATCGGGAATTCCGCTACGCAAATAGTCGGCGCCATTCTCGGTGTGAGAATCCTGAAACATGAATTCCGCATTATCGTACGATATTTAATCTGGGAACGGACGCCTGATTTTTTTGCATAAATGGTCATCTGGGGTGACCATTATTTGGACTGATTTTTATATCCCAATTAAAAGTCATTGTTATTAGAATTATATATTGCATATTTTTGATCGTTTTATAATTTATTAGTATTTGAGGACAATATATATGTAGATTTACTCAACATTCTGAACTAGATTTTTTCAACTTTCCTGAAAAAAGTAAGGAGGAATAAAAAACATTTTAAAAACGAAAGAAGCACATAAAAATTGAGATATTAATTAATAAAACGCTTTTGTATCGCGGATTTTTGATGTGGGATTGCATGTTTAAAGGTTCGTAAAACGAATAGTTATTAAAACTATATGCATATTATATAATACTCATTTTATAGCAATTTAAAATAAAGTTATTCGCTACCATAAAATCATTTGTTAAAAAATATTATATTGTGTTTGCTCGTCCAGAAATATTAAAAATAATTTATTTTTATCATATTTGTTTATTATATTATTATAAATATATAAGTAACAAAGTATTTTTAAATAAAAATAAATATTTATTAAAATTTGTTTTTTTTTCTAAACATTCACATGTATGTTTTTATTTAATTGTTATTTTTTCTATTTTATATTAACTGTTATAATTATACATTATTATTTATTTATTATAAAACTCAGATTATTATGTCGAATTTATAATATAAATTCGACTCTTATTATACTTTATTTTTGTAACGTAAACGATCACCTGGGATGATTTCTACACCTCAGTAAATTTTAATCAGTCTGTACTAGGAATGTGCAGGTCTTACATAATTTTTTTTTTCTATTATGCGGGCTGGGTCTCGGAACCTTCGAATGAAAGGTAATAGGTATGGATTCTCGATTGATAAAAGAATTACTGTTACGTAAGCTCCATTTTTTCGACACTGGGGTGTAAAAATCACCCTAGGTGGGCGTATCCGAGTTAGTAGCGTTTAATAAAAGCAAGAATAACGTAATGTAGACGAAATACTACGGTGAATATTAGGTATATCAATTTTAGTATCCATTCACAAATTTACACAATCGATATATAATTGCATTAAAACTAAACATGTTAGTTTTAATTACTATACTATTTCGTAGTATTTTTTCATTATCGTAAATTTTTTATCACTGAAAGTTACGTAAAGAATTATGAAACAGCGTAACAAAATGTTTTACAATAAATTTTCTAATAAAATGTTATAAATTGTGTTCTCACATAAAGAAGTACGACATTATTTCTCAAATAATTATAATCATAATTAACTTCTCGCCGATGCGCAAGTCATAACTTTTAGAATCTATTTGATCATTTCATGCAGAATTGCGCAAATATTGTACAAGTATTTTCTCCCCCGTCACTTGGCTTATTTATATTCGGGATATATTCAGGGTTCTATTTTAAGCGATCAAATACGTTCTAGAATAAATCTACATTGAGCAGGGAAAGGTAATATCGCATCCATATTGCATTCCTTTTTCTCTCTCAACAAAATCCATCTCATTTTTTTTTTAAAGTAATAAAAGTGAGTTTCTTATTCCAAATTCTTATTTGGAATTCTTATTCCAAAAGATTATTAAAAAGTATCACTTTACTAAAGTTTTCTTCTACAATAATTTGTTCATAAAATATCGCCAGCAACATATATGGTGATGGTGCTTTCATAAACGCGCGCGGCGAAGACGCGTCGCATTTGCGAAATGGACAAATCGTGTTCCCGGATATTTTAATTTCATTTATGCACAATCCAACGCGCATGCTATGAATATTAAAAAAAAAAAAAAATACATATATCTCCAAATTATTGACTTGTCAATCGACAGAGTAGCATCGCACTCGTGTGCGCGGTTATCGGGATCGATGAACTTCAAAAAATCAGTACGCGCGCATATAAAAGACGTGTACAACAATGCATTGGATCCATGGATCTGTCATTGTTGTTATCACTTCCGCAAAACGCTCGGTCGAGTGGCGCGTCATTAGCGAGCCGACGTATTTCTTAATGTCTCGCTATATTGACTACGGAATAACATCCGGCGTTTTGACGACGACCTATGTATCCTGCACGTGGGGTATCCTTCCGCCGCCACCGCCGTTACCGCCGCCGCCGCCGCCGCCGCCGCCATCGCCGCCCGATGCGATCGATGCAGGCGATGACCTGATTACCGCCGACGTCACTGCACGTGCCTGCACCGAAATAATGCCAAAGCCTCACGACTCCCACTCGTGGCGCGGCGCGTATATTTGAGATTGTTTTGACCTCGAATCCTCCACCACGTGCGAGGCGTGACGCGCGCGCGCGCGCGCGCGTGCACGTATATCCGCGACCGTATGATACGTGATAAATAAATACAAGGAGTCCTTGACACATCGGTGGTGCGTGGAAACCCGAGCAGGTAAAGAGCATCTGCATCGCGCGGCACGCGCGCGCGCGCGCGCTTGCATTTCACTCTCTATATTATTTATGCCGCTCTATTTTCGCGCGAATTTTTACGACCCCTCGCGCAGTCTTGCGTTACATCCGTGCTTCATCACGTTCATATATATACATATATTTCTTATTTGTCAGATTTTATATATATTTACAAAATTATTTATCATATAATTTTATTTATTTTATTTATATTATATTTATATATATCATTTTATGCTATTTCTAAAATTATATGTATAATTTAATAAATATATATAAAATGTGACGAATAAAAAATATATGTACATATAAATGTGAAATTATATATTTCGAAGAAAAACTAGTTCTCGAAGTGTATATCCTTAATCGGGGATACACACACACGTCCAAGGTATATTACGCTTCGAGTATTAAAGTTATTTTTCAAAACATATAAGAATGAAAGATGTTAAAAATAGTGTCCCTTATTCATCGCCGTCCACCGACGTGAAATATCGAAAAATTAATATTACGAGGGATGAATCGCATGATTATATATACGAGTCTACACCGACGCGATATCGTGAAATATAATTTTAACCACTATCGCGCATCTCTCTTTTTGGAGCGTATTAGAATCTTCATTCCGATTTCCGAGTATTCCGCGAGCGCTTATTTCTAAAAGTCTCGATGCAATACGTTCTATTTGAAGAACGAATCTCCTGCCCGTATATCTCCCTAGTATTCTCGCTGCATTCCGTTATTAAAACCGTATAGTTTATCGAACTAGATATACATATATCCATATGACGAAAGCGACACGGGTTTCTCCGTACTCGCCTCCATCCATCAACAGATAAATAATCGCGCCACTCAGCTGGTGGAATACGTAATCAGTCTTACGATTCTTTCAGGAAGACCTACTCGACTCGTCAGCATAAACACGATTTTTTTTTCCAAGCTTTGGCACGTGTCGGTGATTAACGCGCGCGCACACGCGCGCGCGTTCCCCGAACACGTTCGAAGCAATCTATTTTGCGCTTTCCGCCGACGGTGCTGAAAATCATAACGCTGCGCGCGACGTGCGACGCGATATGCAAGTTAACGTGTGCGATGCGATAATTGTGGCACATTCGCCTCAGATTCGCGGGGAAAAACTCGATTAAAGCGTTAAGGTTACGCCGCGCGCCGTGTATCAGAGAGCGATACACGCGCGACGGCGACGGCGAGCGACGAGGCTGACGAGGGCGGGCACGTGGAAGGCCGTCTTACGTCATCCTGCCCCGCACGCTCGCTCTATTAGCGAGAGAGATGCGGGGACGAATGCCTCCATTGCCTCCGCGCCCGGCGACACGCGCGTATACACGCGCCGACCTGTATAGACGTCGGTGTGACACGTGCGCGCACTGACATCATTCCGAGACGCCGGGACACGTGTTAATGAGGAAACGCGTCCGCGCGGCGCGGCGTCGTGCGCCTCGTTGCGTACAATGCGTAGAAGCTGATGTCGCCGATTTTTCACGGCCGAGGGGAACGGATCCTTTTGGGGGCGGGGCACTCGCAGGGCGAGGCCGGATATTTAATAGAACGTGCCTATATACGAATCTCCCTGAATACGTTATTCCAGGCATAGATGACTGGACGATAGTTTTAAAAGGAGGGAGAGGGGGAAGGGGAGCGTCTTATCGAACTCGAAAGTGATAACTGATATATATATTTCGCTGTTATCCGTAACAGTGATTAGTAAACCCTGATAGATAGCTTTTTAGTTCTGAGATTTTTATCGTGTCTGATCGCGCGTGTTTTTTAATCTGCGAGCCCGCACCTTTTTGCATAGGGGGGAAGGTGCTTTCTATATATTTTTATATTCCTCTCGTCAGACCGCTTTTTTTACTCCCTGTATACTTTCCTGTAATCCTTAGTAAAAAAATGTCTCAGAATTTTTTATATATATTTATTAATCAGAAATTCGGGAAAATTTTTTTAATTCTTCAGAATGCTCAGAATTTTTCAGATTTTAATATTGGAATTGGAACGTTTTTCGGAAGACCTCAGACAAAATAATGATAAAATATTTCAGACTTTTCCCGCCAACACATCTTTGTAGAAATCTGAATAAATATGAGAAAATCAGAAATTTTCATACATATGCCGCGGGTACTGAAATATTCCGAGAATCCTCATCCAATTATTTCTGAAAGTATCTGAGAAATTTCATATTGTTTTCAGAATTTTTCATAAGTCTCAATTCTTACAAAATTTCTGAAAAAAAAAAAATGAGAAATTTTTTCACCGGGGTTATTTTATTATACATTTCATAGTTATATTTATTAATTGCATTTGCGGCTGCATGTCTGCAAGATTTATCAAACTTATCTTCTCGCCTTACAGCTCAGTTTCACCATTTCTATGATTTTCTCGTGACTTTCACAAGTAAATCCCAACGCGCGTCATTACAAGTACGATAAGTATGATAAGTGCGTTAAACGTCAACTTCTTGAAACTTTCTGCACGTAAACAAACACGACTTTGGCCAAGTTGGAATCGATTTCTTCTCTCGGAGGATGTCGAAATACACTCGTAGTGTTTGTGCAATTGGCCATTGAAAATGGAAGACTTTTTGTGGCGCAGTAAATGTCGATTGGGATAACTCTAACAGAATTTTAATTGGAGTTTAGTGTACACACATATTAAGTGGTTGGAGAGATTTGCATATAAATCTATACACGTAGGAGCTACGCAGTTTAGATAGAGAGATTTATATTGTAAAAAGTCTTGCGCTCTACGTTGAAAAATAAATATGTTTATCGATAATTAATACACTTATATTATTAACAATTCACTTTTAGCGAAACTTATAACCGTTCCATGCAAATTTCTTTTTAACTTACTTAAATTATTTTTCTAGTTTCTGACAATTTTCCAATTCCACTTCTATTTCTACTCTACAATTTACTTTCGTGTTAAGTATTTATTTAAAAGCTTTGTACTTCTCTACATTTTTTCTTCTCGTTTTGCATTTCGGTTTCACGTCTAATAAAGTCTAAAAGTTATCTGAATGAACGAAAACGTCAAAAGGAAAAAAGAATGAAAAATCTTTATTTTATTTCACTCTAAAAAGAATAAAAATAAAATGGTATGAAATAAAAGATTATACAATTTAATATATATATAGAAAAATCGAAAGACAGAGGCGATTTTTAACCGAAAGAATTATAATTTTTCGTGAGTCAAGCAGACGCAGATAGATTCTTTAGTTAATTTTAGTTAATTTCAAACAGACTTCATATTTTAATATGAATTATAAAGATACGGAATGTCCGAAATTAGAAGATTATGACAAAATAATAGCATACATCCCTTAATATTTTCATCGAGAAAGAAAAGATCCCAAATCGATCAAAGAATTTATCATTACAAAGTATAAGGATGCGAAATATCGAACAGCGTATATATAAATTTTCATCGAAAATACATTGGTAATTCGCCAACGATATAATAAACAATTAAACGTTCATTTCTTCCGACTATACAATTGGCAAATAATTATTCGATGATTGTCATCGTGACAATTCGACCATTGGTTTTGGTCCGATTGATCGTCAAGACGTTAATAATCTTTGATACTTATGTTGTATATGTTGTATAAGCATCTCATTTTTAAATAATTTAAATTAAATTAAATTATTAAATTTATTGCGAAAAATATTACCTCAGCCAATGGTCGAATTGTCACGATGACAATCATCAAATGATTATTTGCCAATTGTAGTCGGAAGATATGAAAGTTTAATTCTTTATCATTTTCATGTTACGTCTGACAATGGAGTCATTAATTATACTTCTCCACGAACTCTAACTCGTAATATCTTTCAAGGAAAGATCATTCATGACAAATTGATAAAGACTAGACACAACGATATACACACGGTGTGTATTTTTTGACGCTAGATCGCACAGCAAACTAGTGAATTACTGGAAATTTTGCAAGCTGCACGATAAATATTAAAAAAAACATGCATCGCAGAGTTATTGCGTCTACAGATCCATCGATGTAAAATATCGACAAATTAATATATACGAGGAATAAATTCCGAGATTTATATATAATAAATTGTCTACACTGACGCACCGTTTAATATATCGTGAACTATAATATCGGTTATTTTTGCACATTTCAAAACTTTTATTCAACGCCGGGGCATTTTATCTCTGACATAGTTTTATTAAAAAACATTTTTTTTCCGCATATCCAACCGAGTTCTCTCACATTTTATTACGAGATTCGTAATTTGTCAGACTTAGATATCTATATTCACGCTAATTGAACCGATCGTCACGTTCGTTAACAAATTGGAACTGGAGTAAAAGCGTTTCTCATACCCGTTTATATACCATTCAAAGGAGAGCTGTGAAAAACATAAGCCAGCACATTGCGAGATACAGTAAAAACGAAAAGAATATTCGGGTCGCGTGTATTATCTGGCTGAACTTTATTTAAGAGTTGAGCTTATCGTAGTCGCACACGATAAATGCATTTCTTGCCTTAGCGGACAATATTACTGATGGTCAAATGAAAAAAACCTCGAATCTATTTCAGCTGAATCAGGTATACGAATATATACGCAATAATTTCCAAATTGTTCAAAGGTTCTCAGTTACCTGAGAAGCTTCAAAATGTGTCAGCAATTTTCCGTATAATCGTTGCAACAGTTATTGATATAGATATTGCGATATTGATTTTATTTTTCTTCCCATTCAAATGAATTTCGCACGTATTCCGGTTCCTACGAAATTTACTTTTATGAACTCACCTGTAATTAACAACGCATACGTGTGATCCGTATATGAAAAACAATTATGAATTATTTTCGATTTTACATTTCACATTTAACTATTAAACCCTTCGATAAATCTTTTCGGATACGTTTCGCGTATACATTTCGAAAAACAAAAGCAATCGGGTTCGCTTACCTCCGAATTATTTAAAATCGCGCGAATCGAATGGCTAATTAGTTCAACAGCATTTTAGTCAAGTGATTATTATTTAGTACGATAACTATCAGTTTAAATTCGTAATTTCAATTTTCGATAAGAAAATTCGAATTCGACTTATAATTCAAATTTTACAGATATTCGCATATTTTTCGGTTTGCTTTCACAAAATCTTCAAGATTGCGGGAAAAACGCAACCGGAAAGAACGTCAGCGAATCGACATCGCTCCCTTTTCTCACGTTCCGCGAATTCACTGTGGATACTGAATTCCCGTTTTTTTTTCCGCACACGAGAAGCCCGCGGAGAGCACACGTGGCGGCTGCAAAGTTCAACGACTCGAACTTGTGTGCCCGCACGTATTCTCTGTAAGTCAGCACGTCGCAGAGAAGGACGGACACGCGCAATTCTTTTTTACTCTCTATCCATTTTCTCTAGGACCCATTCTCCACCGATTTCTCTGCAGTTCTCGCAGCTAAGATCATATTTTACAGACATGCGCGAATTTATGGACCTTGCAAGCGAACGATACCGCATCCGCGACGTGAATGGGGGAAGACGAGCCAAGATTATCGACGTATATGCAAGGATTCAATACGTCCACGAAAATGGAAACTCTCAGTTTTTCAAGATATCTAAGATCATTTCCACTTTCCACCTCGTCATTTTAGGTGTCGGAAATTCTTACACAATATTTAACCGGCGCGACGATAAAAACTTACGGTTGTTTATCTATTCAAATTGTAAGTTAATATTTAGACAGTAAGATTATTTGCGCGTCGTGTATGCCTAAGAGGTTTGCACTGAAACGTCTCGGAAGTTATATATTGCTTCCAATAAAGCAACTGTTTTGTACGTTTCGGTTTAGGATCAAATAATATCCTGATGCAAAAATGCCACGGTATTTTATGGGAGAAAAATGAATTTTTCAGAACCCTCTGTTCGTAAAATGATTTATGAATGCCTATTGATAATATGCTGTATTTATCGCTGCAGTGTAATCGAATATAATACATACTTCTAGTATAACGAATAATGCTAAATGTGTGAAATGATGAAATATTTATAATGGAATTATATCATTGTTGATTGTTTTTGTACCTTGACCTGTTTTGACCTCGAAATTTTGTATTGCGGCTCAATGAATTGGACAGCCGATAAAGAGCGGAAAAAAATCAGTTTTTTTTTTTTAAGACGGGATTGAGGTCATATTTTGGAGACTGTCGCGAATACCGAGAATTCAGATCGCACGGAAAATACTAAAGCGCTCTACTCCTCCTGTTGCATTTGCGTCATTCACGAGGGAAATAACGCGGGGTAGCGGAACAACGCGCGAGGCCCCTCGACGTGTCGCGAAACTCGACCTGCGCCGTGATCCCGTCGCCGTGTTCGATCCTTTCGAATATACGAAACCGGCTTACCGGGGAGGCGCGTGCAATTTCCGGTTGCGGGATGATGGAGATGAAGACAAAAAAAGCCACACGTGTGTCGACCGACGCGCGAATTCGGCCGTGTAACGACACGCCGGATGGAGTTCGAGAACTCACGGACCATAAACCCTTTTTTTCAGAGCAATATACATATGTAATAACACAATATAAATATTATAAATTTATATATGTATACATAAATAAAAAAAATTGTACATGTACACACATCTACATATATATCTATATATACATATGTATATAAATATTATATACTTACGGAGCGGTAGAAGAAGAACTGTCACTCAACGTCGTCGTCCCTCTCTCATTGATCTACACGCGCCGATGGTCGCAAATCGACTAAACCACGCCGAGCAGTCGCCATGTTACCCCGGCCCGTGGTGTCGAGGGCACACCGACGTTGGTCACGCACGCGCGCGCTATATCGGTGAAGTACACGAGGCGAAGGCTCGAATTGACTCGGATGTATTATATCACAATGACAAAAGGGACGACACGTGCGTCCCCACCATAACGGCCCGCCGTTGCCGCCGCCGCCGCCTCCGCCTCCGCCCCCGCCCCCGCCCCCGTCCCTGTCTCCGTCTCCGTCCGCGTCCCCGTCCCCATCCCCGTCGCCGCCACCGTGTCCGCCGTGTCGGTCGTTGAGACATTTCACGGTAATGTTGCCGCGACAAGACGGGACGACCTCGGGTCCGCGATTAAGCCAGCCCCCTTCTGAATCTGAACTCCGAGCGAAAAGAAGAAAGAGATTGTCTCCCTGCGGGCGGGAAAAGAAATTTTCCCGGGAAAAAGCCGTCGGGGAAACCGACCCGAGCACAGTGATCGTAACTTGTAATATATGTATGTACCTATATATAAGAAATGTCAACGCTAAAGTAAACGAGACTTTTTGGAACTTCGAGATACCTACTTCTGCGAAAGATATCCTCGAAGATACGTCCTGTGACCCTATTCTGTAACTCTTAATGACAGTTTCGTTATCGTTTTATTTGCGTTGCGCAGCTTTTTTACCATATATAATATCTGTCGTTAAGAGCTACAGAATAGACCCACTCTGGCCCTTGAAAGTTGAATTCCCAGTAAAATCGCGGAGAAATTCGTATCTACGGTATCAATTCTTGATATATCCGTGAAAATTAAGACTTTCGTAAGAATATATTTTCTTAACCGAGAGAAATGAATCATCTATCTATCTCGGTAAATAAGAAATTTATTACTTTGGAGAGGTTTGGTAAAATCGATACATGTAAATGTCGCAAACGTTTAATATTTATCTTTTAAGAATATCTCGTTTTTTTTCTATTGAAGAATTCAAACGCCCATCAAGGGCGCAAAAGGTCTATTATAGCTATGATGTAAAACGTACAATTTGTGGTGCTGTTAAAATAATTGGAAAATATATATGGAAAATACATGGAAAACATATGGAAATACATGGAGAAGAAATCCGCGAGAGGCACGCAAGGCACCTGTTTTTACGGATTGTTGCAACATATGCATAAAGCGTGATACGCACGATTCGCAATTCTAAAGTTATCGACAAACGTGATAAATACGCGACATTCTCTCGGTTTTGATGACATCGATATAATCCGATGAAAGTTATTTAAAGATTTGCGACTATGCGAAACTCGATTATATTATATATCGCGATAAGCATGAGTAACTTCACTTCTCGACATAATAACTCATCACGTCCGAATGTTCTGATATAGATATAGTTATCTGCCTTTTTTTCGAGTTTAGCCGTTAATTTTAACGGCTACAGGCTCCGCAAATTCTCCAAGCGGTCTGACTCGCCTTGACAATGAGATCGGCGTTAGGAACAATGGATTCGACGTGACTCGAATTTTACGAGTGTTCGCATATCTCCGCGCTAATTACGCCAAAATTTTATTATATACCAGCCATTCGAATTAAATAAGCTCAACTTAGTGAGCGCTGTTATTTTTCTCGCGAATCTTAATTATTTATCTGCGACTGGATCTCCTCTCGAAGGAGGAAAATTCCTGAAAGAAAGTTGACCGAAATCAGATCTAATCTAACGTCAATAAAAACCCTACTTTTCGACGTTTGATCCAACCGATCCAACATTCTTCGGTACTTTCACGAACTGCAGTCACGTATTTATACATATAAATACGTGAATAATTAATTTGCTTTTTGATTTTACCTTAGTGTTACTAGGCCGTTTTTGTGTGCTCGATTGTACGTCAGTAATACCGAGCCTTGAGTGGTCTTTTTCACTTCGCTCTTGGCATCAACTGTTTTTACGCAAACATATAATTATTTATTATATAATTATATGCTGCAGTCATGTCATTGTGAACGGTTTTATGTAATAATATACATAGATAGTAATATATTCTTGTACTTACTACTCGTTCGTTGAATTTTTTTTCGATTTTTACGAAATGGTTTTCCGATGAAATCTTGTCAACTCCTTTCACAATGTCTCGGCTTGTTTTAATTGCAAAGCGTTCCTTATGCGTTTTCAGACTATGACGAATGAAGCAGAATGTCTCGAGATCTATTTTCGTCTTTTTATCGTTGTCACACAAACCAGTGTGTTAATTCATAGATATATAATATCTCTCGATTAATATTCTCTAAATAACCTTTTCTCATCATCATTTCTGCTATATTAAATTCATAAACGTCACTTATTATCAGAGAGCAAGCTTGGATGTATTAAAAGGTTAAAGTTTAATACCCGCGTGTTGAGACGGGAAGCCAGAGATGGGAAAATTGCCAGGGAATACACGTAAACGTCTTTACACTGCACAAGATATATCTATACACATAACTATCTTAACGATAAAATTATTTTAGTTTAACAGATCAGATCTTTGTAAAAAAAATGTTAACAATTATAACAATATATCGTTGAATTTTTATTAACATTTAAAATCGAAAAATAAATCTACAACTATAGTTTCGAAGTACGTTATCATTTTCATAGCTTGTCAATTTTTACTGATTTCATTTATCATTGTTACGCGATAGAATTAAAATTATTACTAAATTAGATATTATTTAAATTAGATTATACGAATATATTACTAAAATTATATGTACAGTATTATTATAATATAATATATATTATATTATAGTATTATTACTAGTTACTATATATACTATTAACATATTACTAAAATTAGAATTTTATATAATATGATAAAAAATTAGCCAAATCGCGCTAATTTTATCGTTCAATTATCCGACATCTTATATTTCCCTTCTTTTTTTAACCGCAAATTACTTGAACGACGAAAGGGCGGTGAAATACGATACGGATGCCTGCATCATCTTAAAATTCAAAATGATTATGTGTTTCCGCAGTACTGAAAATGCTGTACGAATTGAAAGGAATCATTCTTTACCGAAGCGTAGTTCGCCATCGACAGCACGTATATTTTGCCGGCTGTTAACGTACAAGGCACAAGTCCTCTGTAAAGTAATATGCTCAATAGCCGTGTCGTTCTTCGCGACGTTTTATACCACACCATGTTGTACCTAAAACAATGATCGAACGCGTAGTCTGCAATCTCTAACACGATCAGTCAATTCCTTTCAAATATCCCTTGAAACATTGAAACTTTGAAAAGAGCAAAAATAATTTAGAAAAAATAAAAAAAATTAAATAATTTTAAAAACACCTCTATATATATAAGAAAACTACAAAATGTTAAGAAATAAACGGAACAAGTTTATATTCTCATCTGCGTTGCCGAGGAACAGAAGGCAAGAAATTTTAAATGCTCTTTTCCGAAAAATTTATCTGCATTTTACCACATTTCTTTTTCTATTTTTCCACATCGCGCAAATAACTTTGGTGCGATATATTTACGCTTTGTGGAATATATCTGCGCTATGATCCATTATCCTTTGACCGGGATAACTCAGAACGAAGAGATGTATGAAAGCACCTATGACCATCGCTACATATCTCATCATCTCCTCTTTACGATCCATTAAGGCAATTATCTGCAAGACGGTTAAATTCCAGATTGATTGAAGGAAGTTACGAGACGATTTTCGATCGGCAACACGTCTCTTAATATCATCGCGCGCGCTCACTTGAATTCCGAGGAGACTCGTAACAATGATTGTAATAAAGAGCAACATAAACGAATACAGTTCGAATAAAGAATCCAACAGACGGACATACCTGAAATGGCACATAAACGGATGAATCGGATGAATGCAAAATGCTTTGCGGTAAAAAATGCAAAACTCACTGAAGACTCAGCTGATGCTTTTGCAAGAGGAGCACCAGTTCGCGATAGATCTCGTCGTCGTAATCTCGCGATTTATGCTCATTACAAATTACATCTGCATCCTTAACGGGCCGATAATTTTCCTTCGAACTTATCTCCGAGGTCAGATTTTCCAATCGGCACCTTTGGAGCACGATTGAAAGTTTATCCACGCGGCACGGCGCGGGCGAGTATTTAAGAAAGAAGAAGAAAAAAGTTCTTTTGCATTAAATTATAATGCAAAAAAAAAAGAAATAAGTGATATACAAGTATACGATACCCGATAGCAGCGAAAAGACTGCAGGCGTGTTGCGCGAGCGACATGTAGCTCGTATCGGTTATTACCATGACGCTCATGGTCACCACAGTCGACAAGTACGAGTGGAGTAATACAGGATAGTAATACACCTCTCTGTCGAAGCTGTAGTCGATATCGAACAGGTACTTGTAAGGGCGCGATTTATTGAGAGGCATGAGGAGATCCAATAATTGCGGCGTCACTGGGATCAGCATGTAAAGGCTCATCAACGAATAAATCATCACTGCAACTCCGCGTTATTATTACGATGTAAAAAAAAAAAAAAACACGTATCGACGAGTAGATTGGATGTATTGTGCAATTCATAATGACACGTGTAACATGTAAGTACGATGTGTTAAACGTGATGAGCAGGCGTTAAAAGCCAAGCGATACGCGAGTGATTTAAGCCTCATTATTACCGGCGTAACTTATCGTCATCTTCCTCGCCACGATAGCGTACTCGTGCATAATTTGTACCTCCAGAGAATGCGTGAAAACGCGCCAGTGATAGTCGATGAGCGACAGCAGTCGTTCTATCTGGATGAGGAACATGGAATGAAAACGAATATATGCGATGCGATCCGCGACTCTTGCGATTCTTTTCAAAGTCTTTTTCTCTTTCGCCGAAGCGAGAAGATCGCCGCTTGCGAAATCTTACGTTTTTGTTTTTGAGAACTATGAGGTACAGCTTGACGTAACCGCCGATTGTTATCAGCACCATGATGAAACATTCGCAGTCCTCGGTTATGCCTCTCCATGTTTCAGATAGTTTTACAAACTGAAAATCGGCGATAATAATTGCGAACACCTCTGCGCATCTCTAAACGTTCCACCTACCTGCATTAAAAGCAATGTAAATAGCCGGATGTGTATACGAATTGCGACGAGAATAATTTTAGACGCGATAAAACGATCTTTTATCTTCGATAACTTTCGTAAATAGTAGATATGTATATGCACAGAAAAAAAAGTGTCAAATCAACACTGATATATACTTGTGTATATGTACGCAAGAATATATAATCTTGAAATGAGATTATATATTGCGTTAAACGAAGAAAACTTTGCTTGAATGAGAAATCATTCACTTATATAGTTAAACGAAATTTCATATGTGATTCAATCAAGAAAAAAAAGTTGAAATAAAAAGTTGGAATTCTTATAATAAGATTTTTATATATTCGTATATACAAGTTAACAAGTATATCAGGGTTGATTTGACACTTCTTTCTTTTCTGTGCTGTTCCAGCACATCGACCGCACTTTCCTCATACTTTTGCCAATTTTAAATCGACTTTTTTTTCTTAACAAAAATATGACAGATTCTGTGTTTTATATAAGCATAATTAAAATTCAAAAAGACTTTCTAAAAATAAAGTTCCTTTAAGCTTTCAATTCTAGTTTTTCAATTCTAATTGTTGCATTTTTGTTGCGAAAAAAAGAAGTCAACTTAAAATTGGCTAAAGAAGATGATATCTGGAGCACCCTATATAATATCGTTACAAACGGAATTAATTGACTATTTACTCGACAAGATAATGTCATGAAAATTTACATATATACGTCTCGGATATTTATGAGAAGATTTAAAAAAAGTTGTCAGAAAGTCGTTCTAAAAAAAGTCATTTAAATCTTTAAAAAAGTTTTATTTACGGTGGTTTTTTGGAATTTTTGCTTAAATATTTACACGTGCGGTATACTGAATTGTTGAATATGATTCGCGATTACTTATTGCAGCACAGTGTTAAGTCAGACGCATAAATTTATTACCACATGAGTCACGATGATTGCTTTGAATAGTTTAAATATTTAGTCGATATGAAATAACACACGCGCATGTATTTGAGTATTTCTTGGCACAAAGTATGAATATTTAAGACATTTTATCTCAAATTATTTACAAGGCGACCTCGCAAAATTAGCGCTATATATATGCTCCTTTCATCACGTCCAAAATACGTCGTACGTATGCTAATCACGTGGAGATTCTCTCTCTCTCTCTCTCTCTCTCTCTCTCTCTCTCTCTCGTAAATTTTATTCGCACAACGGTTTTTACACGGACACGCGGCGCAAAAAGCAGCCAGGAATTTACCTCGAGAAAACCGATGCAGAAAATAAATGACGTTATTATGGTCGGCAACAATATCTTCATAAATTTACTTTGCGTCGGCCAACCGCCGAGTTTCGACATGAGGCTCTTGTTAATATTGTAATAACGTTTCACAGCCGACTGCATCTCCCCGGCTCGGTTTTGTCCCGCGGCTGTCGGTTATTCTCCTTCAAGATCCAGGCCGAACATTTTCCGGACGTTCCCCTATATCTAAGTACTACATTGCGCGTATATATCCGCTAATAAGATGTTGCGGCATTACATATATGGTAACGTTGTCTGTATATAAATAATCATGGGTTGTCGGAGAACGCGCGTGCCGGCTGTGTCCCCCGGCGCATATCGCTTTATGTCTTACTCCTCTCCCTGTCAAAGAAAAGGAATTGACATCGCGCAGAAATTATACTTCGCGCGAAACGTCAATCGCTGCGGTGTGACACACACGAGATAATATTCATGTATCCGTCCCCCTGCTTGCCGCCAAACTCGCGCTAAAAATATTATATATTCTTCTTCTCTTTCTTCTCGCGATACCGTATGACTTTTTAATGCGAGTTGTGTCACGACGATAAATACAAGATAAGCGTAGCAGGAAAGTCGAGCGGCTCGAAAAGCCGCGATAAGCGGCTTTATACGAAGGTTTGCATAACACACGAGAAGGGACACGTAATCGTCGCAAAAATCTGACCGATACATAATTTATTTTGAACTTAACTTTCGGCTGTTTTATCCCGAAAATCACACGCTGTCTAACAATAATAAATCCGTAATGGTGCGTCTCCACCTGCGAGTAAAAACTCGAGAGCAAAAAGAAAGAGACTCTCTCTCTCTCTCTCTGTCTCTCTCTCTCTCTCTCTCTCTCTCTCTCTCTCTCTCTCTCTCTCTCTCTCTCTCTCTCTCTTTCTCTTTCTCTCTCTCTTTTTGCTCTCGAGAATTCTTACTCGCAGGTGGACACGCACCATAAAGGCCATTGCACGTAACAATGTTTTAGTTGTAATCGTAAGGCCGTAAGAAAGTATAATAGACCAATCACGGGCGATTATTCTTCTCGCGCTTGAAGAATAATCGAGTGTGATTGGTCTATTTTCTTATTACAGCCTTATGATTAAAACTAAATCTTTGTTATGTGCAATGGCCTTAGGGGCTCAACAGATCGAGTCTCATTAAAGATAAATCAAGAGAAAAATAACACGAAAAAAGTTTACCGAGAAAGAAGATAATTCAGGCGGTTGCTTTCTAAAAGGAAAAAAAAATACGTGCGATGTGTATAAAGAATCAACAGTAGAAAAGAAAGCGTGATTATTATAGGGCAGAATATACAGTAGACAAAATAGGTAAGAGACTTTCTCTATTTGTAAATGGTTACTTCGTGTAACGTGACTGCGGATTTAAAAATTCTACACTTCAATTTATCGACACGAATAAGTGTGTAAATTTTTTAGATTTTAATATCATTATTTCCATTAACTTTACGGATGACTAGAAATCCGGAGAAACAGTTTATTTTACATTATTGCAAAATAATGTCAAATAAAACTGTGTAACCATCTTTTTTTAAATATAATTATATAATATGTATATTTAATTAAATAAACATATTATGACGCTTAAATAATTATTATTATTGACTTTCGGTGGTCAGATATTTATTATGATCGGTTAATATTCATGCACTTAAATATTTTCGTGGACATTATTACACTGGTCTTGTTACTAATGTGCGCAAAACTTCGAAATTATATTATCTGCATTAGTGCTGGTCTACAACCTTGCTTTAAAGGGTATTTAAGCTCTAAGCCGTAAGAAATTGACCAATCACAGTCGAATATTCTCCTCAAATTGTATTGTGATTGTTCAATTTCTTACGGTTTAGATTAGAGCTTATTAAATATCCTTTAAAGCAATTAAGGTTGTAGACCAGCACTTATATACAATTTTTGAATTATCGTCATTATCGCTATTTTCTATTATAGCCGTAATATTTCTTAAGGGGGCGTGACCGTACGGCAAATGTAAAGAATTTTTTTTAGAGAAATTTACATTTGCGTCCTACGGTCAATAAACAATCGGTAATGGTCGGTAACAATCGTAATCGATAGCGACCGCGTTCCAAAACTCATCGAAAAAGAAGCTGTTTTGTTTGCACAGCTTACTTTTTGATCAAACTCCATTTAATCAGCGATTAATTTTATAGAAGTGTGGTATGTGATAAATAGCATGAAATTATATATTTTATTTAATTAAAATTGCTGGAATAAGTAATAACATCAGCTAGCACAGCAATATATCTGTGAAGAATTAAACAACTTATCTGCTTTATTATGTTTAAATTGTAGATTTATAAATAATTTATATAAGAGACAGATATATAAAAATGAGCACATTGCACGTTAAAATAAAATAACATAAAATTTCTTAAAATATTAAAGCGAGTGTATATACCTGATTGCTCACGTCGCCAATTGGCCAATTTAACACAGAACCTTCTGATTGGCTGGTCGAGTGGAAGAACCTCACCGGTCGCTGTGGAATGGCCGATTGTCCACCTTGCTGATTGGTTGATCCAAAATTTCATTCTCCGGTCGTTGTGAATGGTGGTTTATTGCAACGTGATCAAATGGGACGCTCTCCCGCCAGATCAGCCAAGTGAGCCAAGATTGGCCAAGATCACCCCCTCCAACTTTTTCTAGGGGAAGTAAAGAAGACGTACGTCGTATGTGGTCGTATGTCGTATGTACATACACAAAGGCACGCATTTACATGTATGTGTAAGCTATCGTAGATTTTGTTCTCGATTATTCGTATAAAAAGAAAAAAAGAAAACAAGAAACACGGTTCGGTTCGTGCGCTGTCTGCATTTCGCGAAAATACGGAGTAGATTCGGTGTAAAATGTGAGAAAATAATTACCACGTACATGCAGTGTAATAGGATTTAACAATTTGGCACCGTCCAACGCGCACCAAAGGTTTACAGACGGATAATTTGGTTATAGAATGGCCGGGAATTTCTGGCAGAGCTCGCATCAGTAAGTTCGGAAATCGTATATCATAAATTTTAACGAATGAAATTTTTACGATGATTTCTCGTTTTCAATAGCCAGCAGTGGTTACTGGATAAACAGGACTTGATCAGAGAACGTCAGCATGACCTGTCAGTGCTGACAGAAGAGGAATATCAGAAAATATTTATTTTCTTCTCTAGCAGTAAGTTGCTGCGATCTTCTTAACAATTTTCACAACCGATGAAAATTAAACTCCTTCTATATTTGTCAATCAATTGAGCATCTCAATTAACCTCTCTATCAGCATAATTTTGATAGA